CGCGCGGCTCCGCTGCCGCGCGAGGCGCGACGCTTCCACAAGTCCCGCAGGTCGCCCTCGGCCCGCTCGACGAGCGCCGCGAGCGACGCGTCCAGGGCCCGCTCCTCGCCGGCGTCGCGCGCCGCCATGGCCTCGAGCGCCGCGGCGACGTCGCCCTCCCCGAGGCCCCGGGCCTCCAGGTCGTCCGCGGCTCCGCGCCGCCGCGCGTCGAGCCGCGACCGGAGCGCGTCGAGCGCGCGCGCGCGCTCGCTCTCGAGGCGCTCGCGGAGCGCCTCCGCCGCCGCGCGCTGCGCGGCGGCGAACTCGTCCGACGGCGACCCGTCGCCGCAGGACCCGCCCTTGGCCTCCTGGAAGCCGTCGTCGGCGTGGCGGTCGCCGGGCGCGTCGTCGTCGCGGACGGTGTCGCGGTAGCCGCCGCGGAAGGCGGCCGGCCGCCCCCGGGCCGCCGCGTCGCCGTCGCCGCCGGCGAGGACGACGACGGCGCCGTTGTGGCCGTGGACGCCGTCGTGGACGCCGTCCTTGGGCTCCGCGACGACGAGCCGCGGCGCCGCCCCGTCCCAGCCCGCGGCCGCGGACCCGTCCCAGCCCGCGGCCGCGGCCGCGTCCGGGGCGCGCTTGTCGTCGACGTCGCCGGCGCCCTTGGCGTCGTCGCCGGGCCGCGCGGCCTCCTTGGAGTCCTCGGCGAAGACGGCGTCGCGGAAGACGACCACCGGCGGCTCGCGCGACCGCCACTCGTCGCCGCCGGCGCCGCGGTCCGCCGTCGACGCGAGCGCGCGCGACAGCGACGCGTCGTCGAGGCGCCCGATGGCCAGGTCCGCCTCCTCCGGCGCCTCGACGACGGCGCCGGAGAAGATGCCCTTGATGAGGTTCTTGAGCAACAGCTCGTCCTCCTCGATGAGGATGAGCTCGAGGACCTTGGGCACGAGCTCCGCGCCCGCGTCCTCGTCGACGCCCTGGGGCCCGAAGATGGTCTCACGCACGTGGGCCTCCTCGAGGGGCTCCTTGTTGTGGACCTTGTCCTTGAGGTAGAGGTAGACGCGCTCGAGCGTCCCCTTGCCGATGCACCGCGGGCCCTGGCAGAAGGTCATGACGTCCTCGCGCGTCGCGCTCGCGAGGGCATTCGCCTCCTCCGCGCGCCGCAGGAGGCCGCTGAGCCGCTGCTCCTGCGCCGCGTCCGCCGTCGCGGCGCCCGCCGCGGCCTCGCGCTCCTTGAGCGCGCGGCGCCGCGCGGCGCCCGGCCCCTCGTCGCCCGCGAGGAGCTCGTCCTCGAGCTCCTTGATGCGGCTCACGAAGGTCGCGCCCGTCGCGCCCCGCGCCCGCAGGTCGTCGACCTCGCGGAGCGCCGCGGCCCAGGGAGGCGGGCCCGCGCGCCGCGCCGCCGCGGACGACTGCCGCGCGTCCTCGAGGCGCTCGCGCTCCTTGGCCAGCACGACGCGCAGGGCCACGAAGCGCTCGCGGAGCTCGACCTGGCGCCCGCCGCCGAGGCGCCGCTCGTGGAGGTCCACCATCTCCGTGGCCCAGGGCACGAGCGCGAGCTCCTCGGCGTCCGCGGCGCCCGCGCGCGACCGCTGCATGATCGACGCCGCGATGGCGTAGTGCAGCTGCTCCTCGTCGTCGGGCGCCGCCGCGTTGCCGGACTCCGGCGGCCGCGCCGCGCGCGGCGACGCGACGGCGACGCCGACGTCGGGGTGCTCGAGGAGCCACTGCGCGGCGCTCTCGACGTCGTCGTGCTCCATGAGCGCGATGGCGACGCCGTCCTCGGGGAAGCCCATGCCCACGAGCGCGTCGTGGAGCGACGCCTCCGGCGGCGGCGCGCTCGCCGGCGGCGGCGGCCGGCGCTGGGCGGCGAGCACGCCCTCGGGCACGGCCAGCCGGTTCGACCGGCAGTACTCGCGGATGTCGCCGTCCGTCGCGCCGCCGGCCTTGGCCTCCTCGACGGTCACGCGCACCTCCTGCGCCGACGCGCCGGCGCCCATGATTCAGAGGTGTGATTAGGCAGCCAGCGCTTTCCACATAATACAATGATGTGTGAAACTCCTCTGCTTGAATGTTCAAAGACCACTTCAGTTGTTGACATAGTTTTTTTTCATAGTTTTTTTTACGCGCTCATGACTGAGCTGTGGCAGCCCCAGCGCCGAAACTCCAAGGTCTTCAAAACCCACTTCAGGTTTTTTTACGCCGCGGCCGCGGGCGCCCTCGCCTCCGCGGGGTCGCGCGCGACATTGCCCTCGAAGCGCGGCCCGGGCACGATGCGGCCGCGGCGCGCGAGCTCGCTGAAGGCCTTGTTGTCGACGGTGTTGCGGACGTGGTCCCAGAGGATCGAGTTGCGCCACTCGTCGGCCTCGAGCTCGCCGACGGCCTCCATCATGTTGGCCGCGTCGACCGTGAGCTGGACCATGTCGCCGATGCCCGCGTCCTGCGCCGCGTCGTCCTCGGCGGTCTGCATGGCCGCGGGCGGCGGCAGGAGCTTGGCGATGGCGGACTTGGGCAGGAGCGGGATGAGGTCCTCGTCCGGGAGCTCCGGGTCCGGCGCGGGCACCTCGAGGTCCGCGCGGAGGCGCGCCCAGCGGTCGCGGACCTTGGCCATCTCGCGCTTCGTGTAGCGGTACTTGCCGACGACGCCGTCGGGCGCGATGTCCTGGTCGTGGTCGATGAGCCGCGAGCCGCCCTTGGAGAAGAGGTGCGCGAGGAACGCAAAGTGCCAGTCGACGTCGCGCCGCCGCAGGTCGTCGGCGTGGAGGAGGCCCGGCGGCAGGCCGAGGTCCTCGCGCGCGACCTTCTCCAGCAGCTTCGCGAGGTCGTTCGGCCGGTCGAGGCGGCCGCGGACGTCCGACGCGAAGGACTGGAGCGCGCCCTGGTCGACGCCCCGCTGCCAGAGCCGCGGCCCCGTGCCGCGGTAGCCGAGCAGGGTCTTGCGGCCCTTGAGATTCACGCCCTCGGCCCGTTCCACGCCCTTGACCGCGCGCGCGGGCAGCAGCGCCTCCAGCTCCGCGAAGACGATGCGCGCGAGCTGGCGGCCGTCGACGAAGGCCGTCTTCCAGTTGGTCATCTCCTGGTAGGTCGGCAGGCTCTCGACGGCCGCGGCCCGCGCGCCGCCCGCGCCCGCGTGCAACGACTGGTGGTTCGCGAACGCGAGCAGGATCTCCTCGGCGAGGTCGTCGGGCCGGTGCTCTTCGACGGGCGCGCCGCCGGCGTCCGCCGCCGCGAGCTCCTCGGCCGCCGTCTTCGGCAGGTCCAGCGCCCGGGGCAGGGCGAGCTTCGCGATGGTCTCGGGCTCCAGGACGCCGCGGAGGTCCGGGTATTTCGGCGCGCCCGTCCACCGCGGCACGCTCTGCTCCTCGGCGACGTCGAAGCCCGACGCGGACAGCTCCGCGAGCCGCTTCGCCTCGGCCTGCTGCTGGAGCACGGACCCGCGCCGCGCGCCCTCGTCCGCGGCGACCTCCGCGGGCGTGCGGAGCCGGAAGAGGCCCCGCTGCGCGTTCGCGAGCGCCGCGGGCACGATCGTCGCCGCCGCGCCGACCATGACGAGCAGCGCCTCCTCGGCGCGGTCGCCCCGCGCGCGGTCCTCCGCGCGCTCCACGGCGATGCGCTCGCGCTCCTCGTCGCTGACCTCGCGCGCGCGCGCCGCCGCGAGCGCGCGCTCGAGCGACTCGACGCGGCGGTTCAGGTCCTCGGCCCGCGCCTCGGCGACGCGCGTCGCCTCCTTGGCCTCGAAGAGCTCGGCCTCGCGCATGACCTTCTCCATCTCGAGCTGGCGCTCGCGCCGCTGCTTCTTCGCCGCGCGGAGCCACTGGCGGATCATGAACCGCTTGCGCCGCATGTCGTAGCGGTGGACGATCTCCTCGACCTGGGCGCGCCGCGCGATGCTCGACACGCAGTAGTTGTGCCAGAGGTGGAGCGTCATCAGCGCGATGGTCCGGCTGCCGCCCGCGCGCTTCGTCGCGCGGAGCCAGAGCCACGCGGCGCCCTTGCACCGCGCCTCCCGGTAGTCGAGCAGCGCCTTCTCGCGCATGGCCGACGCCGTCGCCAGGGACACCTCGGCGCGCATGCTCGAGTCCACGAGATCCACGGGCGGCCGCAGCGCGAGCGCCTCGACGCGCTCGCCGGACGGGTAGCGCCAGTACGCGCCGCCGCCGCCGCTCCGCAGCGAGTCGCTCGAGCTCCGCCGCAGCTCGCGCGTCCGCGCCCGCGACTTGCCCACGGTCCAGGCGCCGGGCCCGGACGCCGGCGGCGCGTGGTCCCGCACGAAGCGCGGCAGGGCGTAGCTCGACGACAGCGCCGACGCCTCGTCGAGGCTCGCCAGGCCGTCGAGGTGCGTCGCCTGGAGCGCCTGGCCCGCGTCCCGCTTCGGCCGCTCGTGGTCGTCCCAGCCGAAGACCTGCCGCTTCGGCTCCATGTTCATGCCCCGCGGGAGCTGGTACATCGTCGATGCCGGAGAGCTCGGCGCTAGAGAGAGCCCGGGAGCGTATACATCGCGCTCTCCGAGGCGTTGGAGAGTGTCAGGAACATGATGTTTCCTTCAAGTGAAGTCACTAAACCCAAGATGCAGCACGAGATGTGAGCATGGCAGCCATGCCGCGCTGCGTCGCGGTGCTCCTCGCCGTTGTGGCCGTCGCCGAGGACGCGAGCCACCTGCTCGCGCCGTCGGTGCGACGGCCCTTCGTCTTCTACCACATCGACAAGACGGCGGGCAGCTCCCTGCGCGCCATCATCAGCGACGCCGCGGCGCGCGCGCGCCTGCCCGCCGTCATCCCCTGCTACGGCGGCGTGACGTGCCTCTGCGGCTCGAACTATCGCGTCGAGCCCTTCCTCTGCCCCGCCGCGGACGCCTTCGAGGCCGCGGCGGTCGTCGCGGGCCACTTCAGCCCGCTCGGCCTGTCGAAGCGCCGGGTGAGCAATATGGACGAGCGGACGTGCCTCGTCTTCCTCCGCGAGCCCGTCGCGCGCCACGCGAGCTTCTACCGCTTCTACGGGCACCAGAAGTACTTCGGGAACCGGTCCTTTGGCGCCCTGTCGGCCGACGAGCAGCGCGCCGCGATCGCGCGGAGCGGCGGGCCGGCCTTCATGGCCGAGTTCCTCGCCTGCGACGGCGAGCGCTGCCCGGCGAACGTCACGCGCGCGGCGACGCTGGCCCTCCGGCGCTGCTACGTCGGCACGGCGGAGCGCTTCAACTCGTCGATGGCGTTCCTGTCGCTCGCGGCGCCGTGGCTCGGCACCTACGCGGCCCTGAGCCGCACGCACGCGAACCGGGCCGCCGGCGGCGGCGCGGGCCCGGAGCCGGCGCGCGCGGCGGCCCTCGCGGCGGCCATGCCCGAGGATTCGGCGCTCTACGGCGCCGCGGCGGCGATGCTCGAGGCGCAGCTCGAGGCCGCGAGCCGCTGCGGCGAGGGCCGCGCGGGGCGGCCGCGGAGCGACGCGTCCTGGGCGAGCGAGGCCCACTACGAGATGGCCGTCGCCATCCGCGTCGAGGCGCTCGCGCGCGCCGCGAGCCGCCGGCCGCCCGCGGAGCGGCTCCGGGTCGCGTGCTGCGTATCGGTGCACCTCCGCGCGGCGCGGGGCCGCGGCCTGCCCCGCGACGCGCGCTGCGACGCCGCGGCGCCGCGGCGGCTGGCGGCGCCGTCCCCGCGCGCCGCGCGCGGCGCGCCGGCGCCGGCGCCGAGGAAGCTCTACTGGCTGCACATTCCCAAGTGCGGCTCGACCTTCGCGAACACCGTCGTCCACGCGCTCTGCGACGGCGTGCCACCGAACGCGTCCGAGCAAAAGTACTTGGGCAAGACGCCGAACTTCATCAAGGGCCGCAGCTGCCCGCGCCTCGCGGTGCCCGTGCGCGACGGCTGGGGCCGCCACGACGACCTCTCGGCGGGCCTGCTCGCGAAGGTCGGCGGCGCGGACCGCGTCGTCGCGCTCCTGCGCGAGCCGCGCGCGCGCGCCGAGGCCGCCTGGAACCACGTCAACGTCCACGGCGTCCCCAGCCCCAAGGGCCCGCCGGCGGGCGACGCGCGCCAGTTCGCCGAGGCCACGGCCGGGTGCGCGGCGCGCACGCTCGCGGGGCGGGGCACGTGCCTGACGCCTGGGCGCGGCGACGACAAGGCGCGCGACGCCGCGATCGCGCGGCTCCGGGAGCTCGCGTTCGTCGGCGTCGTCGAGCGCTGGGCCGAGTCCATCTGCCTCTTCCACCTCCAGTTCGGCGCGCCCTGCCTCGCCGTCGAGTTCGAGCACCTCCGGTCCCAGCCGCACAACCGCACGGTGCCGCGCGCCGCGCGCAACGTCGACGACGACGTCTACGCCGAGGCGCGCCGCCTCTTCGCCGCGGCGCTGGACCGCCACGGCGCGACGCCCGAGCGGTGCGCGGCGCTCTGGGCACCGGCCATTCATAACGTACTACAGTAACAGCATCTTGTCGTAAGCTGCGCGGTGCCGCGATGGGCAGTCGATCCCCATAAACGACCCACTGCGTTGCGTGTAGCGATGGCAGACGCCGACTACCCATCGAAGGTGCTCCAGCGCGCGCTCTCGACGGCGGACTACCTCGCGTCGCGCAACCTCGACGGCCTGGCCGCGCTGAAGCGGCACTGCGCGCAGACGAGCGGCAAAGAGGGCGACCACCCCGACTTGCCCGTCGCGCCGCTGCCGGATGGCTGGCCGCGCGCGATTCCGCTGAAGGGCGCGTGCATGACGGGTTCGCTGGCGACGCTCGCGTACCTCTTCGAGCGCGGCGCGGATCCGGACCTCGTCGACGTCGTTTCGGGCGACACGGCGTGTCACGTCGCCGTCGCCTGGGGCCGCGTCGACGCCGTCGCGTACCTGCTCGCGCGCGGCGCGCGGCACGACGTCTCGGACGGCGACGGCTTGACGCTCGCCGGCGCAGCGCGGCGGCGGCAGAAGCTGCTCGAGCGCGGCGACGCGGCCTTCGCGGAGCGGCTCCGGAGCCGCGGCATGGACATCGACGCGCTCCGGGACGAGGGCCGGGGGCTCGTGAAGCTCCTCGACGCCGTGGAAGCACGGGGCTCCTGGCGCGCGTTCGCCGTAGGCGCGACGCGCCGGCCGCGCGTCGCCAGGGCCGCGCCGTGGCTCGAGGCCGCGGCGGATCGCTCGTCCTTGGCGATCGCGCGAGCGCTGGCGTCGCGACGAGGGACGCCCGTCGCCGTGGTTCAAGAGACGAAAAAAGCGCCGTCGAAGGCCGCGGCGAAGAAGCGGCGCGCGGCCGCCGAGGACCGCGCGACGCGGGACGCGGCGACGACGGTGAAGGCGTCGGACCCGCCGCTCGAGAAGGCGCTCTTCGAGGCCGGCCTCGTGTCTCCCGCGCCGGGGGAGCACCACCTCGTCAACCCCGTCTTCCCCCGCGCGCTGCGCTGGCTCGACTGCGCGACGCTCGAGGACGTGCGGGCCCTCGAGCGCGACGACGTCTCGCGCGTCGAAGGGCCGTCGTCGTCGGAGCGCCGCGAGCTCTGGCTCTTCTGCTGCGCCGCGCGGAAGCGGCGCGACGACGCCGTCGCCGAGGCGCGCGCCGCGGCGGCGGCGGACGTGGAGCGCGACGAGGCGCGGCGCCGCGAAGCGGCGCGGAGCGTCGACCCGCGGGCGGCCGTCGCGTTCCGCGTGCCGCTCGCCTGCTTCGCGCGCGTCGCGGGCTTCCTCTTCCACGCGCCGCCGCCGCCGCCCAAGCCGGAGCGCGCCCCGGCCCACGTCCTGGCGCTCCTCGAGGGCGTCGTGCGCGCGCCGCCGCCGCCGGGGAAGTAAAAAACTTGATTGAAGTTGACGTGTGCTCCATCGCCGCGCTCTCCCGCTTCAATTTGCACCAAGCAAACATCACGATCCGATGAGATCCGGCAGTGCACCCGTGGGCTGCCTCTCGTTCGCGGTGCTGCCCGGAAGCGATGTTCATCGACAAAAATTACAAACCACAGCGGCTCGCAAGCATCATGCCCTTCGCACCGGTAGGCAACCTCATCGACACGGAGGTTCGCCAGCGCCGCGTCAAGCGCTCGGCCTCGTCGCGCGTGCGCATGACCATGCGCGGGCTGCCCGAGCCGACGGACGTGGAGCGCTGGAAGAAGCCCGCGGCCCCCCAAAAGAAGCGATCCGCCGTCGAGCCCCTGCCCGAGCTGCGGCGCATGCCGACGCCGCTCTCGCCGACTTGCTGGGGCGACGACGACGAACCCGCCGCGCGGACCGACGGCCTCGGCGGCATGGACGAGCGCGTCATCGACGACGCCGCGGTCACGGCGCGCTACCGGAACGCGCGCCTCATCGACGACGCCGCCGTGCGCTCCCCGGGCCTGAACGAGCGCAGCACGCGCAACCAGCGCCGGCGGCGGTCGAGCGACACGGACATCGACGCCGCGGCGCCGAAGCCGCGCGCGAAGCGGCCCCTGTCCGGCGGCGGCGGCCGGCCGCTCGAGGCGGTGCGCGAGCGGCGCCGCGCGCGGCAGATCGCGGACATGGAGCTCGCCGCGGCGCGCGAGCGCGAGAACGCCAAGCTCGAGGTGTCGCGCGCGATCCTCGAGAAGATGGCCTGCGGCCGCGTCGCCACAAGGCTCGGCGCCGTCCTGGAGGACGCGCGGGAGAAGCGCGTCCGCGACCTCGCGGCGACGGCGATCCAGGCCTGGGCGCGGGGCCTGCGCGCCAAGGAGAAGCGGCGCATCGTGCGCAAGCTCAGCCGCTTCGTGCCGCTGACGCTCTGGCGCCGCCGCGAGCGGAACCGGCTCGCGGCGAAGCAGCTCCGCACGTTCTTCCTCGACCACGAGCGGCCGGCCCGCGTCAAACGGCATATCCACGACTTTTTGCGCGCCGTCAAGCTCGTGCAGCGCATCTACCGCGGCTACGCGGCCTGCACCGTCGCGCGGCGGAAGGCGCTCGGGATGCTCTGGCAGCGCGCGGAGGCGGCCTTCGCGCCGCCGCGCGAGCGCCGCCCGCTCGCGCCCGTCAAGCCCCGCAACGGGTCGCCGGACGAGGCGCGCGCCTTCGCGCGGCGGAAGATCCTCGCGCGGCGCGAGGACCAGAGGGACGACGCGAAGCGCCGCGACGACGCGCGCGGGCTCGCGCGCCTCGACCGCCAGTGGGACGTCGTCGACGCGCGCATGGCCCACCTCGTGCGGCCGGAGGAGGCGCCCGCGAAGCGGCGCAAGGAGCAGAAGTGGGCCATGCCCGCGAAGGTCCGCGACGCTGTCCTCCGCGCGATCCTCGGCGACGCGCGCGCGCGGCACCAGGCGACCTGGGACGTGTCCCAGCGCGAGAAGTACCGCTCGGCGCCCGAGGTCTTCACGCGGCGCCAGGCGCGGACCATCCTGCGACTGGGCGACATCAAGAAGCGCGCCGCGCCGCTGCCGCCGAACGCGAAGGCGGGGAAGGCGTGGCCGACGCTGTTCCTCTTCGTCCAGGGCGACGACACGCTCGCGGCCATCGTCGCGCGCGCCTACGCGGCGGCCTACGCGGCGGACAAGGAGGCGCACCTCCGCGGCGGCGGCGCCGACGTCGCCGCGGCCGCGCTCCGCGCGCTCGGGCTGGTTACGTAGCTTACGTTGCTTCGGGGGTGAGGCGGCCGTCGCAGCCGAGCTCGATGAGCTTCTGCCACGCCGTGGCGACGTCTTTCCTCAGCTGGCGCCGGTTGCGGTTGTAGTAGGTGATCTCGGCCTTGTAGGCCGGGTCCCACGACAGGGCCATGTCGGAGATCAAGAGCATGAATTTCAACCCGTGCATGTCCCACTCGAACTGGCGCTTCCCTTTCGCCGTCGTCCGCTCGACGAACTGGTCGATGTTGCCGTAGACGCTCAGGTAGCCGAGGCCGTGCTCGAAGAGGTTCCAGTGCGCGGGATCGAACGCGTACCAGGCGTTTTCGTTGCCCGAGACCTCGGGGTGGCAGCGGCCGTACTGGTGGCCAAGCAAAATCAACGCGACGGTCTCCCGGTCGTCGAAGCCGAGCCTGTCAAACGTGGCCCGCACGGCCGCGATCGTCGGCGCCTCGCGGACGTGGGCCGGCGAGCCAAGTGGGCACGAGCTGCATCCGAGATCAGCCGCCGGAAGGCGAGACCCACACGGGTTATGCGCGCCGTCGCCGAACGGGCAGCCGCCCTTGCCGTGGACCGCGACGGCCGCGTCCTCGGTCCAGTCCTCGCGGCCGACTTTGAACGGCACGCGAGGCCCACCCGTCGCTTCGATGGCGACCGTGCCGCACAAGACGCAGATGTCGGCGACGCTGAGGCGCGGGTGCGCGCGCTTGACCTTCTCGACGAGCGCTCGCGCCTCCGCGAAGCCCTTGTTCTCGGGGTCGGCCTGCTCGGCGAGGAAGCGCATCGTCCCGCCGTTGCTGCCGCCCGACTTCTTGTGTCTATCGAATGTCCCGCAGCAATGCCAGGCAAAACGAATCATGAGCGGCGCCAGCGACCCGTCGTCGTGCTCGGGCCGGTGCAGCCACTTCGCGATGTCTTCTCGAGCCGCCCGCAGGTCCACGGCATTGGTCGCCACTCCGGCCGGATCATCGATGGTGGAAACGGTGGAGCCCATTGGGGCTGCCGATTAGTCGGGACCGATCACGTCCATCGTCAAATTCGCGACAGAAACTGCATTGCCGTCAACGTCTCATCACCATCGACCTTTCGCAATTGGGAGAGCGCTGGAGCGCTGCCCCGTGAAGCTGCGCTGGAGAGCGCCCAGTGATAGCGCGCTGCCCCGCGAAAACGCGCTGCCCTAGCGAGTGAACTCGCCATGCCGACCTTTTTCGTGCGGTCGCCCACGGGGCGCGTGCAGGACGAGGGCGTCGTCGCCGCCGAGCGCCACGACCCGCGCCCGAAAGTCGTGGACGTCGGCGGCGGTCGCGTCCACGTCGTGCTCGGCGCGCGACCCGAGCCGCTGCCCTGGGACTGCCTGCCCATCGACGACGGCTACGACGACGGCCATCTCCGGAAGCTCGCGCTGAAGCCCGGGCTCGGACCCTACACGCTCGAGGAGCTCACGCGAATGAGCTACGCGTACGAGTCGTACGCGGCCGCTCGGTGGCGGAAGCGGGAAGAGATTTATCTCGAGGAAAGGCGGCGCGACGGCGGTAGAATGAAACATGGATCACGCGTGTCTCCACAAAAAAGGTCGTCGTCGCGAGGGAGACCGCGCGCGAGCCCGAGCCGCGAGACGCGGCCCGCGCGAAGCCCCGCGTGGACGTCGGCGCCGCTCTACCTTAAAAGCACGTTCTAGCACGCCATGGAGAGAATGTTATCAGCCCGGTGGCCAGCCCCGCACCGGAAGTTCGGAACCCTAACGTTAATCAACTCGGCGGCCAGAGGACGAGCTCCGGGTCGTACCAGGAGCGGACGGGCCGGCCGTCGTGCGCGCGCGCGTCGAGCACCGTGCGGATGAAGCGGCCCTGCCAGCCGCAGGGCCCGATGCCGACCTTGAAGGGCGGGTCCGTGGCCGCGTCGGCCTGGGCCCAGGCGACGTCCGCGTCGAGCGCGAGCTGCTGCTCGACGAGGCCGAGCTCGCCGCGGTCGTCCCAGTCGAGGACGGCGTCGTACTTGGCGACGCCGGCGTCGAGGAGCCGCTGGAGGGCCCGGGCCTTGGCCTCGGCGACGTCCGGCGGCGCCCTGACGCGCGCGTGGCCGCGCCAGAGCGGCCGGCCCGCGTCGGCCGCGACGTCCGTCACGAGGACGACGTGGCGGCCCGCGGCGCGCAGGAGCTCGGCGACGGCGATGAGCTTCTCGGCGCAGGCGTGGCAGGCCTCGGCGGTCTTGAGGAGCTCGGAGCGCCAGAGGAGCGCGTCGTAGCGCGCGAACTCGTCGCCGAGCGCGCGCGCGCGGAACCGCGCGGCCGCGGCCGCGACGGCCGGCGCCGCGCGCAGCGCCGCCGCCGGCGCGAGGAAGGGCGCGGCGGATAGGGCCGGGTCCGCCCGCCACCAGTCGCCGAGCGCGAAGATGCCGCGGCGCCGCCGCCGCGCGACGAGCACGGGCGTCGCGTCGTCGTCCGCGGACGCCGCGAGCGCGCGCCACCGGGCCTCGCCGTCGCCGACGTCCAGGTCGCGCGCGTGCATCAGGTCGTCGCCGACGTCGAGGAGCGCGAGGGGCGCCGCGCCGGCCGCGAGGCACCGCGGCGGCACGACGGGCGACCCCACGAACGCCTCGAGCGCGGCGACGTCCAGGTACGCGCGCAGGTCCTTGACGGGCGCCGCGCGCTCGACGACGGAGATCAGCACGTCGCGCGCCGGCGGCACGGCCGCCTCGTCGTCGCCGCCGCAGAGCCAGGGGCCCGCGGGCGCGGACGCGTCGACGCAACACGCGAGCTCGCTGTCGGCGACGCACGGCAGCACGAGTCCGTAGCCGAGGCGCTTCGCGACGGCGGCCGCCGACGCGACGATGGGCCGCCACCCGTTGAGGCCCTCGCCGGGCAGCGTCAGCGCGGGCCAGACGTAGCCCGCCACGTCCTCCTCGAACGCGCAGTCGCCGGCCTGGCGCTTCCGGGCGCTTTCGAGGTCGCCCTCGAGCCAGAAGCCCATGACGCAGAGCGCGACGAAGAAGCAGATGGAGAGCAACGCGGTCGCCGCTTCCGACCACGGCGCTTTCGGTGGCGCGGCGGCGGCGGCGTGCGACGCCGCGACGGACCGTTTGGCGTGCGCGCGTAGCGCCTCGAGCCGCGCGCCCTCGATGGGCACGTCTTCTTGCGCCGTCTTGTTGTTGCGCACGTTCGACGGCGTCGGCAGGCGGCTGCGGCGGCGCATGGTTGTCGTTTTTAGCAGGTTTTTTTGAACACGGCAGCTATTCTATGCCGGGCGACGGACAGGAGATTCGTCGCAAAGTAACAAAAGATTCGTCGCAAGTAACAAAAGATCTGCACGGCACCATCAAAAGGGAATCGTCTTGCATTGTGTCTCGCTGCAGGAGCTCGGAGAGGCGGGCTGGGTAGCTCTGCGCCGCTTGAGCCGCCGCCGCCGGAGTCGCGGGACCGTCGTCGCGGGGGTCTTCCCAGGCGCGGCGGCCTCCCGTCAATCGTCAAAAGCGCGGGGGTCTTCCCAGGTGCTGCGACGCGACTCCAACGGTTCACGGCGGCGCCGGCGCCATGGACGCCGGCGCCATGGGCGCCCTGCCGACGCGCGACGAGCTCTTCGACGTCGTGCTCAAGGGCAAGCAGTTGGAGCAGACGATGAAGGACCGCCAGGCCGGCGGCGGCGCTAAGAGCGGCCGTTATAAAAAGCACGACACGGCTCGACTTCGGTGTCTGCGTCGCGTCGTCTACCCGCGGCTCAAGATGGGCATCCTGCCGTCGGCGACGGACAGCAAGATGCTCTTCGACATGCCGGGCGTGTACCAGTGCCTCCGCGCGGCGTGGCGCGCGCCGCGCGCGCGAACATCATCAGGCGAGGCCGCGGCCGCGGCCGCGGCCGCGGCCGAGGCGCGCCCGTGCCCGCGCCCGCGCCCGTGCCCGTGCCCGCGCCCGCGCCCGCGGCGCCGGACGCGTCGCCCCCGCCGCCGGACGCGTCGCCCCCGGCGCGCGACGCGTCGCTTCCGGCGTGCGACGCCACGCCGGCGGTGGCGGCCCCGGCTTCCGCGCCGCCCGCGCCGTCCGCCGCGGTCGCCGACGACGACAGCGACGACGAGTTCCTCGCCTTCAACTCGGGCATGGGCGTCCGCACGTCGCCCCAGGCGGACCGCCTCGACGAGTTCATGGCCGCGGACGCCGGCTACGTGCCGCCGCCGCGCGCGCCGCTCGCCGCGGTGCGCGCGGAGCCGACGCCCGACCTGCGAGGGCCGGAGTTCCAGGCTCGCGTGCGCCGCGAAGCCGACGCCGCCGCGGCCCGCCCCGAGGCCCGCGCCATGCTCGTGGAGGACGAGGACCTCATCTTGGCCCAGCTCGAGGCCTCCGACGACGTCGAGGACCACTTCGCGCGCGCCGAGAGCGCGGTGCTCGAGCTGCTCCGCTACGACCGCTCGTTTCGCGACGCGAGCCCCCCGGACCGCAACAGGGCCGAGCTCGTCGTGGGCCGCCTCTTCCAGTCGACGGCCTGGAGCGAGCACGACGAGCGCAGGCGCGTCGCCGACTTCGAGGCCCTCGACCACGACCTGCGCGCCGCCATCGGGATCGCCGTCCGGGACGCCTCCGCGCAGACGACCGCGGACGACGAGCGCGACGCCCTCGGGCTAGCCGCGGAGACGCTCGAGAGCCTGGCGGCCTTGGTCTAGGCGCGAGCGAGCCCGCGCCCGTGCCTGCGCCCGCGCCCGCGCCCGCCGGCGCGCCCGCGCCGGGGGCGCGGCCGAGGCGCGAACTAGAACTCGCGATGGGATAATTCCGCGGGGTTTAAAGACGGGCCGGCGGGACGAGTCCGCGCGTCGCTCCGCCTGGCTTCGGCGCCTCCGGCGCCTCCGTCGCCTCCGGCGCCTTCGGCGCCTTCGGCGCCTCTTTTTTTTTCTTTTTTTTTTTCTTTTTTTCTCCTCGCCACTGGCCCCACATGAAAAAAGTGCCGTTTTTTTGGCGCTCCAAGCTGAATTACCACAAGAATCGCAAGCTGCGACGCCGACTGGCTGCTCGTCCGCCGCCGCCCGCACCACGGCATGGCGCCGCCGGACCCGGAGCTCGCCGGGCTCCAGCAGAGGATCGCCGCCTGCGGCGTCGCTCCCGGCGAGCGCGCCGCGGCCTGGCGCCACTTCCTCGGCGTGAGCCCCGGCCTCAAGGACCAGGGCGCGTCCGTGCGCGCGTCGCGGGCGGCCTACGCGAAAATAAAACAGCAAGAGCTGCCCGACGCCGCGTCCCTCGGCGCCGACGCCGGCGACCCGCTGTCCGGCCTGCTCGGGGGCGACGGCGGCGGCGCCGGCGGCGGCGCGTGGGACAAGTACCACGCGAACGCCGAGCTTCGCGCCGAGGTCGAGAAGGACCTCGAGCGCCTGAGCGTCGGCGGCATCTCCGAGGACCACTTCAAGGAGCCCGCGCGCGCGAGCCGCATGCTCAACGTCCTGACGTGCTGGGCGTCGGGCCACCCGCGGCCGGGCTACCGCCAGGGCATGCACGAGGTGCTCGCGCTCTTCGTCGCCGCGCTCGAGGACGAGCTCGCGGCGGGCGGCGCGCCCCTGGGGCCGGCGCCGGGCGGCTTCGACGAGGGCGACGCCTACGCTTTGTTCGCCGCGTGCATGGAGACGCACGCGGCGCTCTTCGACACGGGCCGCGGCGCCGACGCGCCCGTGCTCAAGTTGTGCCGCGCGGCGCACGACGCGGCCCAGGCGCTGCTCGACCTGGGGCCGGCCTTCGACGCCGTCGAGCCCCAGCTCTACGGCCTGCGCTGGGCGCGCCTGTTGTTCCTGCGCGAGTTCGACGCGCCGAAGAGCCTCCAGCTCTGGGACGGCCTCTTCGCGGCGTTCCGAGGCATGCCGCCGGCCGAGCGGTCGCTGCCCTACGTCGTCGAGCGCTGCGCCGTCGCGCTGACCTGCGCCGCGGCGCCGGTGCTGGTCCGCGACGACGAGTGCCAGCAGATGCAGACGCTCATGCGCTTCCGGGACCACGTCGACGCGTCCGTGCCCCGCGTGCTCGACATCACGCTCCGCCTCGTCGACGGCCGGGGCCTCCCGCCGGCCCGGGGCCGCGCCGCGCCCCCGGCGCCGGCGCCGGTCCTCCAGGCGCCCGTGCGCGCCGTCGCCCAGGACTCGCGCTTCGGCGCGCTCCGGAGCCGCGCGGGCGAGGGCGCCGCGGCGCTCAAATCGGCCGCGACCGCCGCGCCCGCGTTCCTCAAGCAGACGGCCCTCTTCGCCGGCGGCGGCGCGCCGGCGCCGGCCCGCGCGCCGCCGCCGCCGGCCCCCGCGGCCCGCGCGCCGCCGCCGCCCGCGCCCGCGGCGCGCGCGCCGCCGCCGCCCGCGCCCGCGCCGCCGACGATGGCCGCGACGCTCGACGCGGCCCTCGCGGTGCTCCGGGCGCACCCGCACACGAACGACGCCCAGGCGGCCCTCGCCTCCGTCGCCTCCGTCGCCGCCGAGCTCCGGAAGCGGCGCCTTTGATGTATTTGGTAAACCACATTGACCTTCACGTTGCAGCCGAAATATTACGCAGAGTCGATGGAATGAGGCTCTGGCGCCTCGCGGCGCTCTGCGTGGTAGGCGCCGCGCGCGCGCCCGACGGCCGCAGCATGCAGCTCATCCACATCCCGAAGACGGGCGTGACGTCCCTGGAGCAGGACCTCAGGGCGCGCGGCGTCGCCGTCGAGCCCCTGAACGAGCGCTGCTACGCCGCCGTGCGCCGCGAGGGCCCCGTGCACGGCGTCATGCTGCGGGCGCCGCGGGCCCACGTGCGCAGCATGTACATGCAGTGCCGCTACGCGCCGGCGTCGTCGAGCATCACGACGCATTTCGCGGGATTTCCCGGCGCGCCGCGGAACGACACGGACGGCCTCCGCGCGTGGCTCGACCACTTCGGCGCGAACTGGAGCCACGCGGGTCGCGGCGATTTCGGTTGCTACACGCCCCTGGACCACCAGTGCCACCACCTCGCCTGCGCCGACGGCGGCGACGTCTGCCCCGGCGACGCCGCGGCGGCCGCGGACTACGCGCGGGACCCGCTGAAGACGAACGCGCGGCGCGGCCTGCCCGCGCCGCGGGGCGCGGGGCTCTGCACGCCCGCGTCGCACCACCGCGCGGGCGGCGCCGAGGACGCCTGGCCGCGCGCCGCGGAGCTCGCGGCCGCGCTCCGCGCGCTCGACGCCATCGAGGTCGTCGGCCTCGTGGAGCACTACGAGGCGAGCCTGTGCCTCTTCGCCTACTTCGCGCTCGGCGCGCTGCCGGCGGACTGCGCCTGCGACGCCGCGGCCGACGTCACGCGCGCGCGCCACGGCGTCCCCGACTACGAGGCGGAGCGCCTCCCCGGCGACGTCGTCGCGCGCATCGACGCGGTCACGGCCATGGACCGCGCGCTCTACGACCGCGGCCAGGAGCGCTTCTTCAAGCACGTCCGCCAGGTCGAGCGCGCCGCGGGCGCGCGCGTCCTCTGCGGCACGACGCGGCGCATGCCCAGCCCCCTCGCGGGTCGGCGGCGCTCCTAGTCCCGCCGTTACCTCAGCGCGCGGGACTGGCGCAGGACCTGGGCGATGAGGGACCGGCAGAGGAGGCACTCGTCGTAGACGAGGGCGTCCTTCGCCGGGTCGCCGGACTTGATGACGCAGACCATGAGGACGCAGTCGCCGACGCGCCAGAGCAGCGTCCGCGTCTCGTCGCCGTCGTCGTCGAAGGACATGTGGAGCGTCGGCGCGTCGCGCTCGTAGTCGAGGATGCGGTCCGCGGACATGAAGAGGTACTTGGACGCCGCCAGCAGCGAGAGCTGGTCGATCTCCGCGCCGCCGCTCTGGTCCACGTTGTCCTCGGAGATGAGCGCCGTGTGGAGCACGCGGCCGTCGCTCCCGAGCCGGTGGAGCACGGACCGCACGCTCTGCTTCACCACGGGCCCGATCATCGCGCCGAAGCCGTGGAAGTCCTTGAGGTGCTGCGCGCGGCCGCCCAACGGCGCGCCGTCGCCGCTGTACTCCTCGACGAACGCGAGCAGGATCTCGCACGCGATGAGGCGGCCGAAGCTCGCCGTGTCGTTGCGGTCGTGGACGAGCGCGCAGGACACGCGCGCGACCTCGTCGCGCACCATGGTGATGGCCATGGAGCTCATCTCGATGTAGGTCGGGTGCATGGCCGTCGTCTGCGTCGCGAACTCCGTCATCGCCGTCAGCAGCGACCCCAGGAGCCGCGGCTGGGCCACGGCCTGGCCGTACTCCTTGGCGAAGAGCACGAGGCCGCTCGGCGCGAGCAGGATCACGTTGCGCAGCGTCATTTTGTGAATGAGGCGTTGGGTTCACGCGCGAGAACCTGCCATGCTCAGGCGCGAGCGGATGGCACCATGCTCCTCACCACTTTTTTTATCGACTTTTTTCTTGCAGTTTTTGCGAGCGCAATGGCTGTGGCAATCGAGCTCTGAGGCTGCCAACGATGCGCTCGCTCCGCATGACGCGAGCCATCTCGGCGTCGCAGCCATGCACCACACCCACACGCGCCTTCTCCGGCTACAAGGGCTTCGGCAGCTTCCACTCCGAGGACGTCGAGGAGCTCGTGGCGCAGGCCTGCGCGCCGGGCTGGCAGGCGCCGAGCGCGCCACCGCTCGTCGCCGCGGCCGCCGCGAGCCCGATCGCCGACGACATGCGCGCCAACTTCCTGCTGGACGACGCCTGGACCTTCGTCAACCACGGCGCCTTCGGCGCGCCGTGCAAGACGGCCTTCGACGCCGCGGCGGCGTGGCGGCGCCACGCGGAGCTGCAGCCGCTGCGCTTCGTCGACCGCGAGCTCTTCCCGCACCTCGTCGCGTCGCTGAAGGCGCTCGGCGACGTGCTGCGGCTGTCGCCGCGGGACCTGGCGCTCGCGCCGAACGCGACGGCCGCGCTCAACGTCGCCGTGCCCGCGGCGGCCGCCGCGAGAGGCCTCGGCCCGGGCGCGGGCCTGCTCCTGCTCGACTGCGGCTACGGCTCCGTCCGGACGTTGGCGGCCAAGGTCTGCGCCGCGCGGGGCGCCGAGCTCGTCGAGGTGGGAGTTCTCGACGACGTCGCGGCGCGCGGCTCCGCGGAAGGCGTGGCGGAGCTCGTAGAACGCGCGTTGGAGACCAACAACATCCGCGTCGCCGTTTTCGACCACTACACTTCCAATTCCGCCCTGCGTCTACCGGTCGCGGAGCTCGCGGCGCTCTGCCGGGCGCGCGGCGTCGCCGTCGTCGTCGACGGCGCGCACAGTCTAGGTTCGGCGCCGCTCGACGTCGCCGACATCGGCGCGGACTACTTCTGCGGCAACCTCCACAAGTGGTACTGCTCGCCGCGGGGCAGCGGCTTCCTCTGGGTCCGGGACCGCGAAAGCGTCGTCGAGCCGCTGGTGGTGTCGCACGGCTACGGGAGGGGCTTCGCGAGCGATTTCATATGGACGGGCGCGGGCGACTACGGCGCGCCGTTGGCGCTGCCGGCGTTGGTGGATTGGTGGGCGCAGGTCGGCGGTTTGGAAGCGCACATGGACCGCAACGCGGCGCTCCTCGCCGACGCGACAGAAACGCTGGTCGCGGCGTGGCGAACGGAGACGCTCGTCGACGCGGCGAGCTCCGCGCCGTCGATGGCGCTCGTGCGCCTGCCGGGCCCGCGGACGGGCGACAGGACGTCGATCGACGGCAAGGCGGCCCAGGACGCGCTCCACTTCCGGCACGGCGTCGAGTGCCCCGTGAAGACCGTCGGCGGCGAGCTCTACGCGCGCGTGAGCGCCGCGCCCTACAATCGACTCGGCGACTACGAGCGCCTCGCGGAGGCCGCTTTAAATTTAAGGTCGTAGGTCGTACTCGACCTTGCGCCCGTCGCCGCGCGAGAAGAGGAACCCGCCGTCGCAGCGGGCCTTGCACCACCAGCCGTCGGCGTCGACCGTGCCGAGGACGTCGTCCGCGTCCGCGTCGTCGCCGGGCGCGGGGACCCGGACCTCGTAGCTCGTCCCGTCCGCGCGCGACCCGACGACGCGCGTCGCCGTGCGCTCGACGTCGTCGCCCTCGAAGGTCGCGACGACCAGACTCGCGCCGCGCTTGTCCGGCGCGGCGACGTCCGCGAAGGACGTGTCGGCCATGACGACCTCGACGCCGCCGTCCGCCGCTCGCAGCAGCGCGGGCGAGTCGCCGACGGGCCGGTGGCCGACGACGACGCGGCGCACGCCGGAGCGCCGGAGCCAGGCGTGGACCGCCGGGTCGCGCGCGTCCGACGTGTACTTCGTCGACGCCTCGAACGCGCGCGCGTTGTAGGCGCCCGTCGACGCGCCCTCGCGGACCGCGGCCCAGATCCGCGCGCGTCTTGAGATTGCCGAATGAGAATCCACATTTCCCCCGTCGGCGTAGCAGTTGGACACGACGGACCGGCCCCAGACGGCGCAGCGGTTCTGCAGCGCGAGGAGGCACTCGCCGCCGCGCGAGCCGTCGGCGGCGAACGTCGGCCGCGCGAGGTGGTCCGCGAGGCCCCACGCGAGGAGCGCGTTGAGGTCGCGGACCCAGGCGTCGACGTCGCGCTCGGACATGAAACTCTTCGTCGGCGGGAAGCCCGCGTCGCCGCGCCTCCCGACGCGGAATCGCGTGTGTTTCTCGGGGACGAAGCCCGCGGTCTGCGCGTCGACCTGGGCAGCACAAGAGTGATTCAACGTCGCTTCAACGTGAGTGTTCCGCGCGCGCGCGTTACGGAAACCACATCCACGCTTCGAGACCGTTCCGAGAGATGATCGCTTGTCCAAAAGTCAGCCGAAACGAGTGGGAAAATGGCCGAGATCGGAGCCTTTGAAGTTGGGAATTTCGCTCTCTTTTCCTGCCCTGGCGTCGACGGCGCCGTGGACGAAGAGCGTCGAGCCGAACCGCGCCGCGACGGACGCGCGCTCGAGGTAGGCGCGGAGCGCGCCGCCGGGGAGCACCTCGCCGACGCACGAGTCGACGACGTCGTCGTCCGTTATGTGTTCCTCGTTCCGGAGCGTCGCGAGCTCCGCCCTCCGGAACTCGAAGGTCCCGGGGCAGCCGAGCGTGTGCTCGAGCATCCACCGGAGCCGGTTCGCCCGCGAGTCGTCGAGGCGCTTCGACTTCAGGTAGTCCGCGAGCCGGGGCGCGGCGTCGTCCCAGTGCGGCCCGGGCACGGCCTCCGGCGGCGTCGCGAGCGCCTCCGGCGACAGCTCCGCCGTGTAGCGGAGCTTGTTCAGGTCGCGGTTGCCGACGAGCAGGGCGACGCGGTCCCGGCCGTAGCGGTCGCTCAGGTCCGCGAGCATGCGGCAGAGGCGCACGTCGCCGTCGCCCTTGTCGACCGCGTCGCCGCCGAAGACGAATCGGCAGCCGTCGTCCGCGAAGCGCAGCACCGTCTCCGCGTCGTCGTCGAAGCGCAGCACGCCCGACGCGCGCACGTAGCGGCGGAAGTAGTCGAGGTTGCCCTCGACGTCCGTCACGTAGCCGATGCGCACCGGCGGCGGCGCCAGGGCCGCCGCCAAGGAGGCCATGCAGAGCGCCCGCCACCAAATTTTGCCAATTCCCGCGGCGGCGTCGCTTTGCGTTTGCGTCACCACCGCTTCGCTGCGCAAGGGTGCGACGTCTCTAGCTCCGCGACAGCGTCGTTGCCGGCGCAGGAGGGCGCGATGACGAGGACGACGAGGCTCGGACGCGAAGTTGATGCTCTGTTGCCGCTCGCGAGCCGATCGTGAAGCGATCGCGAATCGCGCTGCATCCGCAGCGGCAACGCTTGCCTCGGCCCACCGGATCGCTTGCCGGACGTCGTCTCGACCACCACCCGAACCGCCTTCGACGCGCCGGGGAGCGCGCTCGCCAGCGTCGCCGCCAGCGCCGCGCAACCAGCGCCAGCCCCAGGTTCCGCGACCCGGCAGCGCTGCGCGTCGCCGGAAGTGTGCCGCTTTTCGGCTTCGCGTCCCGAAGCGCTTTTCAAGGCACAAAAAATGGAGATGCCGGCGGCGCCGCCGGCCGAGGGCGCGCCCCCGGTCATGTACATGGAGCCCGGCGGCGGCATGGCGGGGCTCATGCAGGCCGTGAACTCCGGGGAGGACAAGCGCGCGCGGCCGCGGAAGCCGTCGATCGGGGGCAAGTGGAGCGACGAGGAGGACAAGCGGCTGCTGCAGATCGTCGAGGAGAACGGCGCGAAGAAGTGGAAGCGCGTGGCCGAGCTGCTGGGGAGCGTGCGCACGGACATCCAGTGCCTGCACCGCTGGACCAAGGTCATCAAGCCGGGCCTCAACAAGGGCCCGTGGTCGGCCGAGGAGGACGAGGTCGTCAAGTCGAACGTGATGAAGATGCAGAGCGAGTCCAACGAGGGCGTCGTCAAGTGGGCGGAGATCGCCAAGATCCTCAAGGGGCGCCTGGGCAAGCAGTGCCGCGAGCGGTGGTTCAACCACCTCGACCCGACGATAAAAAAGGGCGAGTGGGAGCCGCACGAGAACCGGACGCTCTTCGACCTCCAGCAGCAGTACGGCAACCGCTGGTGCGAGATCGCCAAGGCGCTGCCGGGGCGGTCCGAGAACGCCATCAAGAACCGCTGGAACTCGTCCGCGATGAAGCGCTACATCCAGACGGCCAAGCTCGACGGCATGGTCTGCCCCCACGGCCCGGCGCCGCCCAAGGCCGGCGCGCCGCGCGGGCCCGACGCGCGGGCCCTGGCCCACTTCGGCGGCGGGCGGCCCCAGCCCTACGCCGTGCGCCACGAGGACCTCCGGGCCATCGCCGACGGCGACTTCGACCAGCTCGCGGCGGTGCTCGCGAACCCGACGGTCTTCCCCAAGCTCCAGCCCCAGCTCATCTCCATGATGCTCGGCCAGGTCATGCTCAGCGCGCCCCAGGCGGACCGCCTCAAGGCCGTCTGCGCCGCGCGGCTCCGCGCGGACTCGGCGGCCTACGGCGCCGCGCTGCCCCAGGTCGAGGGCCAGCTCGACCACGTCATCCGCGCGCGGACCGCCGCAAGCCCGAGCCCGCGCCCGCCGCCGTCCCTCGGCGGCGGCTCGCCGGGCGCGACGCTCCGCGACGGCGGCGTCGTCGTCGCCGCGGATCCGGCGCCGACCGCGGCCAAGGCCCCGGCGGGCGGCGCGCCGCCGCCCGTCGCCCAGGTCGCCGAGACGGTGGGCGTCGTCCGCGCCCACCCGGGCACGGCGCCCGTCGTCGTCGGCGTCGTGCCCGCCGCGCCCGCGCCCGCGGCCGCGCCGCGCGACGGCGGCGGCGACGCGTCGCCCGCGGACGACCCGCCGCCGGCGCCACCCGCCGAGGCGGACGCCGACGCCGCCGCCGACCCGGCCCAGTGAGGCTCCAGGCTTTGTGTGTCCGCGAGCAATTCATACGCGCGCCTTTTAATTATCCTGAGGTTGTCGATGCCTGCAGCTTTGGCGGGGCTGCCTCACGCGTCGTGGATCTGGACCGTGATGCTGCGCGTTTAGGAAGTTCGCAACGATGCGCTGCCCGCGGGCCGTGGCGAAGCCCTGCGTCGAATGCCTCGCCGCCGTCATCGTCGTCGCCGCCGCGCTGGGCTTCCGCCGCCTGTCGTGCTGCCGCGGGCGCGAGGCCGCTGCGGCGCGCGACGCGGGGGACGCGGGCGCCGGCGACGAGGCCGTGGCGCGGCTCGCGGCGTTCCTGGACCTCCCCGCGAGCCCGCGCACGCATCCGGCGTCGTCGAAGCTCGCCGCGCCGTCGCTCCTGGACACGCCGAAATCCGCGCTGCGGCGGCAGCTCAAGAAGCGGCGCCGCGAGGACACGTCGCACTGGGACGAGGTCGTCAGCTTCGACGGCGGGCGCCGCGCCGCGCGCCCGGCGGAGACGCCCGAGGACGCGGCCGCCCGGCTCACGGTGGAGGCCGTCGAGCTCAAGCGCGCGGGGAAATACGCCGCGGCGCTCGCGAAGCTCTACGAGGCGAAGCGCGAGGCCGAGCCCGACGGCCCGGTCGTCGAGGAGAAGGCGCCCGAGGCCTGCGACGTCTGGTCGTTCCAGGAGAAGGCGGTCGCACCAAGGCCGGCTCGGGCCGTCGAGTCGAGCGCGAGCGAGAGCGACGACGACGGCGCCGACGCGCCCTCGAGCCTCGCGCGGCCCGCGGCCGCGGCGCGCGGCGACGACGACGACGACGATGACGACGACGTCGCGCCGACCTACCGGTCGCCGAGCTCGGCCCAGCGCCGCGTCGACCGCGCCCCGGAGCCGACGTCCGACGACGACGAGGACGCGGTCGCCCGGCTCAAAACGGAGGCCGTGGAGCTCAAGCGCGCGGGCAAATACGCCGCGGCGCTCGCGAAGCTCTACGAGGCGAAAGACGACGAGCTCGCGACGCGCGACGACGGCCCGACCGTCGAGGAGAAGGCGCCGGACGACGCGTGGTCCTACCAGGAGAAGCCCGCCCCGCCGCCGGCCGCGGCCGTCGAGTCGAGCGAGAGCGAGAGCGACGGCGACGACGACGGCGTCGACACGCCCGTGAGCCTCGCGCGGCCCGCGGCCGCGGCGCGCGCGCCGCCGAGCGACGACGACGAGAGCGACGGCGAAAGCGAGGCGCGCGCCGCCCCTTCCGACGACGACGACCACCTCGAGGCGTCTTTGTCCGTCTTCGGCCTCGCGGCCGGCGCGGCGCCGCGCCACGACGACCGCGAGGCCATCGACACGCCCAGAAGCCTCGAGCGGCCCCCGGCGCCGACGACGCCGCGGAGCGGCGGCCGTCCGCGCGTGTCCACGGTGTTGAGCGACGCGGAGGATCCGGACGAGGGGCACGACGTCGTCGACTGCCCGCTGATCCTGTCCCGGCCCCACGCGGGCGAGGACCACGAGCCCATCGACCACGACCTCGACCTCGACTTCCACGAAGACCAGGCGACGCGCGGCCTGCTCGGGGCGAACCTCGCGGCGTCCTTCGCGGAGGTCGTCGGGTAAGGACTGCGCGCGGACCATCGCGCCTCGCCGAGGCTCGCACTATAATATGTTTCAGGTTTGGCGCGGATGCTTTTCAGGTTTAGGCCCGGGAATGATGTTTCTAGGTTTAAGGATCTCCGCTCGTGCTCTTCGGGTTTAAGAAGTCGTTGCTCGCTTTGAATCGCTGGGCAGCTGATGGACGACGACGCACCGCTGCCCGCCTTGTCGCCCCTGCCGCGCCGCCCCTTCGGGGAGCGCAACGCGGGGGCCGTCGCCTCGCCCGGGGCGACGCAGGACTACGACGAGCGCGCGCAGCGCCGCGTCCGGCCCGACGGCGCGCTCGTCGTGCCGGACGGCGCGCTTGCCGCGGCGCGCGAGCGCCGCCCCTTCGGGCGCGAGACGCAGCCCCCGGAGCAGCCCGCGAGCAGAGTCCAAAAAAAAATGCGCGCTCGGGGCCCCCGTCGTTCGTCGTCCGTCGACCGTCGACCGTCGACCGTCGACCGTCGACCGTCGACCGTCGACCGTCGACCGTCGTCCGGCCGTCAGGCGACGGCCCGCGCGCTTGTTGGAATATGAACAGAGAAGGGAAGGTGGGGGTTCGAATCCCCGCTGTCCCACGCAGGCGCGCGGGCGAGGAGGGCGCGCGCGTGCAGCAGCACGCGGACGAGGAGGCCGTCCAGGCCATGATGGACGACTTCGCCGAGTTCGACGACTTCGAGTTCGAGCAGCAGCAGGAGGAGGAGCGCACGGTCGAGCAGCCGCCGCGTTCCTCCTCTCGTCGGCGCAGTTCCTGCAGATCACGAACAACGGGAAGAAGACGAAGGACAAGTTCACGGCGGCCGACAAAAGGCGCGTCGGCAGCACCCTCAAAGCCTACGCGGAGCTGGCCTTGAAGGACCCGACGAAGGAGTTCCCGGACGAGACGAAGAACCTCGACTTCGACACGCTCAAGGGCATCGCTTCGTCCTGCTACCACCTCGCGCCGCTCGCCGGCGCCGACAAGGCCAAGTTCGCCGACGTCGGCTACCAGTGCTCCTGTGCGACCGACCCGTGTCTTTTTTTTTCGCGTACACGACGAACAACCCAGCCATAGGCCCGCAATTTTGGCACTACGGCAAGTGCAAGCACTCGCTCGGCATGGCCATCCACAAGGGCAAGATCAACATCCCGCCCCGGTGGAACATCACGAACATCACCGAGGAGCGCCGCCGCGGCCGGCCCCGCAACGCCAACGGCGGCGGCGCGCTGACCGGCCGCTGATCACTGACCCCGAGCGACGGGCAACCCTGCAATCCTGCAATCCTGCAACTTGAATCCTGCAATCCTGCAATCCTGCAATTCTGAACTTGAATCCTGCAATCCTGCAATCCTGCAATCCTGCAATTCTATCCGCCGCGGCCGCCCGTCGCACCAGGTCCTTTTTCTTTTCCGATTTTCCCGAATTTTTTCTAAACCTAAAAGCACGACACGTAATTTTCTAAACCCAGAAACATCATTCCCGGGCCTAAACCTGAAAAGCATCCGCTCCAAACCTAAAACAATAGGCATCCCGAGGCTCGGCACGCTCCGAGCGGCATCGACGTGTCTTTGAAGATCGCAGAGGAGGCATGGCTCTTCGCTCCCTCATCGTAGCGCTCGCTTTGAGCGCCGCCAGCGCGCTCGTGCCCGCGTCGCGGCCGTCGGCGGCGCGCTCGGCGGTCGTCGTGCGCGAAGGCCCGCTCGACGCCGTCGGCGACGCGCTCGAGAGCTTCGCGGCGCCGCCGTCCGACGCGTCGCTGCCCTCCGGCAGCTTCGGGGCCGTCATCACGGGCGGCGCCGCGGGCGTGGGCTACGCCTACGCCGACGAGTTCCTCGCGCGGGGCCACCAGGTCATGATCTGCGACATCAAGGACCCGGCGAGCGCCGTGTCCGCGCTCAAGGCGAAGCACGGGCCCGACGCGAAGATCTTCGGCGCGGTCTGCGACGTGAGCGACACGGCGTCCGTGCGCGCCTTCGCGAAGCAATCCCAAGAAAAACTCGGCACGGTCCACTACTGGGTGAACAACGCCGCCCTCAACGGCGGCCGCAAGCCGTTCCTCGAGGTGAGCGACGAGGCCATCGAGGCCGTCGTCAAGGTGAACATGTTCGGCGTGCTCATCTGCACCAAGGTCGCCATGGAGCTCATGTTCGACCAGGCCGGCGTCACGGGCCACGTCTTCAACACCGTGGGCTCCGGCGTGCGCGGCGGCGGCACGCCCGGCTACGTGACGTACGGAGCGGCGAAGCGCGGGCTCCCGCAGATGACGGACTCGCTCGTCGCGGAGCTCGAGGGCAAGACCCAGGGCTATTCCTGGCCGCCGTCGTCCACGCCCGGCGCGGTCAACGTCCACACGCTGTCGCCGGGCATGGTCTTCACGGACCTGCTGCTCAAGGACTCGACGCCGGAGCTCCGCAAGTTCCCCTTCGGCGTGCTCGCGGCGACGCCCGAGGAGGTCGCGCGGGACCTCGTCCCCAAGATGCTCGCGACGACGGGCACGGGCACCTTCGTCGAGTACCTCACGCGGCCCCGCACGCTCCTCAAGTTCTTCAACCGCTTCGTCAAGCAGGAGAAGAGCGACATCATCGACGACGACGGCAACGTCATCAAGAAGGACGGCGTCGCCTACAACGAGGACGGCGTCCGCGCGCTCTACTGAGCCCCTAATGGTTATGCCCCGCGTGGGGGTCGTCGCCGTCCGCGCCGTCGTCGTCGGAAGACGAGCAGTGCTCGTGGTCGAGGAGCACGAGGCCGATGCCCGCGCAGCCGACCACGAAGAACGCGAAGAGGCCGAGGCGCTGGGCCGCGCTGAATTTTGACGCGCCGTCGACGACGTGCGCCGCGGCCTCCGTGCAGGCGACGTACGTGTAGACGCCGCCGGAGAAGGCGAGCATGAGGCCCTGCGTGCCCATGCCCGGCTCCGTCCAGAGGTAGACCGCGGCCCCGAGCATGACGGACACACCCGAGAAGAAGTTGACGACGCAGGCCATGAGCACAGAAAGCCCCCCGGGACCCACCAGCAAGAAGAAATCCGCGAACTCCTGGACGAGCTCGTGGTAGATCGTCGCGCCCGCCACCGTCCAGCCCCAGCCGCTGTCGCAGTCCAGAAAGGCGTTGGCGATGAAGATGCCGTCGACCAAGTTGTGCCAGAAGTCGCCCATGAAGATGTTGAAGCAGAACGCGTAGTCCGGGGCCCCCCGCTCCGCCGGCCGGCCCTTGTCCTCGGGCGCGGCGTCGGCCGCGACGGCCGCGTGCGCGCCGTGGGGGAAGGCGATGTTCAGCACCAAGCCCAGAGCATAGCCCCCGAGCATGGCGGCCCCGAAGCGCCACGTCGCCTGCGTCTCCGTGCGCCATCGGCCCGCGATGAGGTGCGACCCCTCGACGAACATGAGGAACGCGGCGCAGCCCAGCAGCGCGCCGATGGCGAGCGACGACGCGAAGGCGATGACCGTCGCCGTGCGCAGGCCGTCGGCCTCGCGGAAGGGCAGGCGCCCCAGGAGGCCCACCCAGGTGCAAGCGAGGACGATCAACGTCGCGAGCATCGAGTTGCGCCACGCGCGCGCGAGGTTGCCGTCGTCGTCGTCGTCGCCGCCGCCGCCGCCGCCCTCGACGGCCAGGGGCTCGACGTCGCTCCCGGACGCGTCCCGGAGGTAGTGGCCCTCGTCGTCGGCGACGAACTCGTCGGGGTAGTGCTCCGCGAAGACCGCGTAGTAGCCCGCGTCGGCGAGGCGCCGCCGCAGGTTCCAGTCCACGGCCTCGAAGGCCGGCACGGCGATCTCCCAGATGCTCTCGTAGAGCCCCTCGGCGAAGACGAGCTTGTAGCAGAAGTTCGTGCCGATGGTCCCGCCGACGGCGAGCTGCGCGCACGCGCCCTCCATCAACGCCTCCGCGTCGTCCGCGACGGCCTCGATGGCCGTCTCGCTGCCCCCGGCGGCCTGCAGCACGACGATCTTCATCGTCGCGTCGGCGTAGGCCATGGCGCCATCGTCCGTCGCGGCCTTCGACGCCACCCAGGCGTAGCTCGCCTCGTGCTCCAGCTCGAAGACGGCGGCCCACTCGTACTCTTTCGTACCACCGTGGTCGTGGCCCGCGTGGTCGTCGAGCTCCTCCCCCGCGGCGACGGCCAGCAGGGCGCCAAGGACGGCCGGCAGGCGCATACTCAAGTGTGTCAATAGACAGACGGCGGAACCGGAGGTTGAGCAAGCAAGGGGGCTGCCTTCGCCGCTGCGAGTTTTACGGCAAGTGTTGAGGTTTTTAAAGTGAAGCCAATCAATTCCTACTTCGACAGCGTCCCCTTGGACGAGGCGACGGCGCCCTTGCGGCGGGGGTCGATGCGGATCGTCTGGCCGAGGGCCGCGCCGTAGGCGGCGGCGGCGGCGAGGGCGAGGGGCCGCGTGTGGCCCTCGCCGCCCGCGTCGCGCCGGCCCTCGAGGTGGAGCGTCGCGCGCGTCTCCAGCGTGAGCGACTCGAGGGCGTGGACGAGCATCTCGGACGAGAGCACGGCGCCGCACTCGCCGTCGCCCGCGTCCGCCGCGGCGTCGCCGCCGAGGTACTCCTCGTCGAAGGCGAGGTCGCTGTGGAAGTTCGGCCGGTTCGACAGGTCGAGCACCGCGCGGACCTCGACGCCGTCGCGTTCCCGGTCCGCGGAGGCCATGCGGGTCAGGCCCGCCTTGTCGCCGAGGGCGTCGCAGAGGCACTGGCCCACGGTGATGGCGACGTCCTCGGCCGTGTGGTGGTCGTCGATGTAGCGGTCGCCCGCGCAGCGCGCCGCCACCAATATCCCCGCGTGCTCCGCGAAGGTCGAGAGCACGTCGTCGAGCGCGGGCACGCCCGTCGCGAGGCGCGGCGTCTCCTCGACCGTGGACGCGAGGAAGCCCGGCGTCACCGCGGCGCCGGTCCACGCCTCGAGCGGGCCCCGCGGCGGGTCCGCCGCGGCCCACGGCGCGTCGAGGTCCACGGCGACCTCGATGGTCGTCTCCTTCGTCGCGCGCTGCCGCGCCGCGCGCCGCGGCGCCGCCGGCGACGCCCAGGCCACGGGCGGCGCGAGCGCGTCGAGCGCTTTGCGGAACGCTCGCGCGAACGCCTTGAACGCGGACTCGAGCACGTGGTGCGCGTTGTGCCCCCGGACGCGCCGCAGGGTCAGGTCGCAGCCGAGGGCCGCCGCGAGGGCGCGCCAGAACAGGGGCGTGAGGTCCGTGCGGTACTTGCCGATCCACCGCCGGCCGCCGGGCCGCGCGGTCATCGTGCCGTACGGCTCCAGCAGGCACGCGCACCGGCCCGCGCGCGCCGCGTCGGGGAACAGGTCCAGCGTCGCCTCGGCGTAGGCCTCGTCGAGCGGGCAGCAGAAGACCGTCGGCGCCGGCGCGGCGCCGTCGCCGCGCGCGGCCGCCGCGACGGAGCGGAGCGCGCCGCCGAGCGCGCCGCCGCACGCGGCGGCGACGTCGTCGTCGTGGGCGCGCGCCGCGAGAGCGCCGACGGCGTAGTCGCGAAGCGGCGCCAGGGCGTCGCCGCCGCCGATGCGCACGCGCAGGCTCACGCCGAGCTGGCCGTGGGACGTCAGCTGGTCCACCATGTGGTCCAAGAAGCAGATGCCCGTGCCGATGACGCCGCGCTTGCCCAAGTTCTCGATTGTCGCCTCGGCGACGACGTCGTTGGACGCGCAGCTGACCATGGTGCGTTGGAGCACGGCGCGTTGCGGCGCCGGCGTCACACTCGATCGAGTCCGGCTCCTGGCTCAATCAGGCCTTCAACTCGGGCTTCAACCATGGCGTCCCGAGGCGCCGAGCGGGCATCCTCGAGACTCTTAAGCGAGGCGATCATGCACGCGCATACACACTTTGGCGCGGGGGTGGACGGGATGGCGCGCGCGCGCGCGGGTCGCGGCCGCGCGGGCCGCGCGTTCGGCCGCGGCCGGGCGGTCACGGTCGGGCGAGCGGCGCGAGGATGGTATCGAAAGGGGCGGGGGTTCGGGATTCGGTGAGTACGGGACTGCTGCGGAGAAGACAGAGGGCGCGGCGCTTGGAAAAGCCGCGGCGCGCGTCCGGCGGTTCCGTCGCCGCTCACGGCGCGAAGAGCGTGTTGCGGAAGAAGGACTTGTTGGCGTCGGCCACCTTGCAGGCGCGTTTCGCGGCGTCGCGGATCTCCTGGTGGCTCTCGATGAAGTCCTCGTCCGCGCGGCAGAGCCGCTTCTTCGTCGGCGAGCCGTCGGCCTCGGACGCCTCCGGCGCCGAGGGCGAGCCCCGGGGGATGCGTTTGCAGGCGTTGGCGACCTTGGTCATGCAGGGCGTCTTGGGCAGCTGGTTGACGACGTCGCGGCAGAGCGGGAGGCCCGGCGGCGGCGGCGGCGCGGGCCCGTCGCCGTCGTCGTCGTCGATGCCCGCGAGGCGGAGCGTCGCGTCGATGAGGGGCGGCGTCGCGTCGCCGTCGCCGGCCGCGTCGTCGCCGCCGGCCGCGTCGGCCGGGGGCGTCTGGGCGCGGACGCGCTCGACCTGCGCGCGCCACGCGGCGTCCGGCGCTTCCGCGGACCACTCGTCGTCCGACGACGCGGCCTCGCCCGCCGAGAGCCGCCGCGCCCGCTCGCCGCCGCGGCGCGCCTTGGCGACGACCTCCGCGACCTCCGCGGCGACGGTCTCGAGCTTCGGGGCGCCGGCGGCATCGCCGCGGAGGACGTCGCGCTCGGCGGAATCGTCGCCCTCCTCGGGGATCGGGGCCGCGCCGTCGTCCTCGAAGCGCACGAGCTTCGTCTTGCGGCGGCGCCGCGGCGTCTGCGACGGCACGGGCCGCGGGCCGTCGGCCGCGTCGACCTCGCTCGGGTGCGCGAGGAACTCGGCCGCGAGTTTCTCCGCGACGCCGTCCTTGTACTCGACGACGTAGTCGACGCGGCGCCGGCTGAGGCGGTTGACGGCGACGATCACGGCCGGGTAGAACATGCCGTCGCCGCTCCAGAGCGCCGCGCAGGCGTCGCCGACGCGCCAATCGTAGCTCTCGTGCCACTGGCGGTCCGTGTCGGCGCCCGGCGTGAATTTCATCGTCCGCATGCTCGTGCGCCGGTCCGCGGGCGGCGACTCGTCGGCGACGTCGTCGGGAGGCGGGATGTCGGTCGAGGCGTCGTCGGGAGGCGGGACGTCGGTCGAGGCGTCGGACATGGGGGTCGAGAGGACGGATGCAAGGCGTCGATTGCGAGCGGTGAAGTCGTCGCTTCCAAACTATTTTGCCACGCTTTTGTGTGAAGCTTTGGTGAAGCTCGCGAGAGGCGACGACACGACGCGCGTCGCCGCCGTCCGGAGAGCGTGGGGCGTGAATCCGCGCAATCACCAAAGCTCTCACCTGATCGACGAGCACGACGATGTGGTCTCGCAACATCGAAGGCGCGGCCCAGCGCGAGGCGACGGACTTCTTCGGCTCCTTTGGGCAGGAGCCGCCGTCGAGCCCGCCGCGCGGCGGCGGCGCGGAGGACGACATGGACGACATCGCGCTGGACGGCCCGAGCGCGGCGAGCGGGCCGCCGCCGCCGCCGCCGCCGCCGGAGAACGGCGCCGCCGCGGCCGCGCGCGGCGGCCGGCTCTTCGGCGGCGGCGGCGCGGGCGGGCTGCTGTCGGCGGCCGCGGGCCTGCTGCCCGGCGGCGGCGGCGCGCCGCCGGCGGCGCCCGAGGACGAGGTCGCGGCGTCGCTCGCCGCGCGCCAGCGCGGCGCGCCCGAGGTCGCCGCGCCCGCGCCCGCGCCCGACGGCGCCGCTGGCTTCGGCGCCGCGCCCGAGCGCGAGGGCGGCGCGTGGGCGCGGGGCACGGTGTCCGCGGCGGCGCTCGGCGAGGCGAGCCCCGAGGACACGGACCAGCAGGGCGCGGCGCCCGAATCCTCCTCCTTCTCGCGGCCCGCCGCGAGTCCCGAGAACACGACGCACGGCGGCGGCCCGGAGGGCGGCTCCGCGGTCTTCGGCGACGCGCCGCACCCGACGGACCGCGGCGTCGAGCTCGCGGCGACGGCGATCCTGGGCGTCGCGTCGGCCGTGCGGGGCATCGGCTCGCGGTTCCTCGGCGGCGACGAGCCGCCGGCGCCCGCGCTCTTCGACCCCGGCGCCGCGGCGCCCGAGGCGCCGCCCGCGGCGGCCCTCTTCGGCTTCGACGCGCCGCAGCCGCCGCCGCCGGGCGCCGACTTCGGCCCGCCGCCGGCGCCGGCGGCGGCGGCGGGCTCCGCGCTCTTCGCGGCGTCGCCGTTCACCGAGGTCGGCGGCGACGACGCCGGCGGCGACTGGGGCGACGACGGCGACGGCTGGGGCGACGACGACCTCGACCTCGGCGCGCCGGCGCCGCCGGCGCCCGACGCGCCCGCGACGCCCGAGCCCCGCGGCGCCGACGGCGGCGGCGGCGACGGCTGGGCCGACGACGACCTCCAGGACCTCATGGACGAGGTCGCCGACGGCGGCGGCGACGGCGGCGGCTGGGGCGACGAGGCCCTGCCCGACGAGCTCCTCGACGACGCCTTCGGCGACGCGCCGGCCGCGGACGCGCCGCCGCCGGCCGCGCCGCCGGCCTTCGCCGCGCCGCCGGAGGAGCCGGCCGCGTTCGAGGCGCCGCCGGAGACGGACGGCTGGGGCGACGCGGGCGCGAACGGCTGGGGCGAGACGTTGCCGGAGGAGCCGCCCGCGGCGCCTTCGATGTTCGGCGCGCCGCCGCCGGAGGAGCCGCCCGCGGGCGCATCTATGTTCAGCGCGCCTCCAGAAGAGCAGCCAGAGACGGACGGCTGGGGCGACGCGGGCGCGAACGGCTGGGGCGAGGCGTTGCCGGAGGAGCAGCCCGCGGCCGCTTCCATGTTCGGCGCGCCGCCGCCGGAGGAACCGCCCACCGCTGCTTCGATGTTTAGTGCACCGCCGGAGGAGCAGCCGGAGACGGACGGCTGGGGCGAGGCGTTGCCGGAGGAGCAGCCCGCGGCCGCTTCCATGTTCGCCGCTCCGCCGGAGGAACCGCCCGCGGCCGCTTCAATGTTCGGCGCGCCGCCGGAGGAGCAACCCGAGGCGAACGGCTGGGGCGACGCGGGCGCGAACGGCTGGGGCGAGACGTTGCCGGAGGAGCCGCCCGCCGCGCCTTCGATGTTCAGCGCGCCGCCGCCGGAGCCGCCCGCGGCCGCGTCGATGTTTAGTGCGCCTCCAGAAGAGCCGCCCGCGGCCGCCTCTATGTTCAGCGCGCCTCCAGAAGAGCAGCCCGAGACGGACGGCTGGGGCGACGCGGGCGCGAACGGCTGGGGCGAGGTCGACGAGACGTTGCAAGAAGCACCGCCCGCCGCGCCTTCGATGTTCGGCGCGCCGCCGCCGGAGGAGCCGCCCGCGGCCGCGTCCATGTTTAGCGCGCCGCCGGAGGAGCAGCCGGAGGCGAACGGCTGGGGCGAGGTCGACGAGACTTTGCCGGAGGAGCCGCCCGCGGCTGCTTCGATGTTTAGCGCGCCGCCGCTGGAGGAGACGTGCGGCTGGGGCGAGGGCGAGGATCCGCTGGCGGACGAACCGCCCGCGGCCGCCGAGACGTTCGGCGCGCCGTCGCCGGAGGAGCAGCCCGCGGCCGCTTCCATGTTCGCCGCGCCGCCCGAGGAGCAGCCGGAGACGGACGGCTGGGGCGACGCGGGCGTCGACGGCTGGGGCGAGGTCGACGAGACGCTCGCGGAAGAGCCGCCCGCGGCGGCTTCGATGTTTGGGGCGCCGCCGCCGGAAGAGCCCGCCGCGGCGTCGTCCATGTTCGGCGCGCCGTCCGAGGAACCGCCCGCGGCCGCGGCCATGTTCGGCGCCGCGCCCGAGGAGCCTCCCGCGGCCGATTCGTTCGGCGCGCCGCCGCCGGAAGAGCCGCCCGCGGCCGCGGCCATGTTCGGTGCGCCGCCCGAGACGGACGGTTGGGGCGACGCGGGCGTCGACGGCTGGGGCGAGGTCGACGAGACGCTCGGGGAGGAGCCGGCCGCCGCTTCGGCGTTCGGCGCGCCGCCGCCCGAGGAGCCGGCGGCCGCCGCGTTCGACGCGGCGCCCGAGACGGACGGGTGGGGCGACGCCGGCGCCGAGTTCGACGATCCCCTGCCCGAGGAACCTCCCGCGGCCGCGTCGGCGTTCGGCGCGCCGCCGCCTCCGGAGCCGCCCGCGTTCGCGCCCGAGGAGCACGCGGCCGCGGACGGCTGGGGCGGCGCCGACCTCGGCGACGAGCCGGCCGCGGACGCTCCCCCGGACGCGCCCCCGTCGGCCGCGGCGCTATTCGGAGCGCCTCCCGCGAGCCCCGACTCGCAAGCGGGCACGTTCGACTACACCGAGGCGAGTTCCGCGCGGCTGTCCCGCGCGAACACCTTCGACTCCGCCGCCGCCGGCTCGCTGTACATCTCGCGCGCGACGACCTTCGACTCCGTGCCCGAGCTGAGCGCGGACGAGGGCGAGGAGCTTGGCGCGCCGCGCTCCGAGGAGCCCGCGTTCGGCGCTCCGATCGAGGAGCCGCCGGCCGCCATGTTCGGCGCGCCGCCGGAGGAGCCGCCCGCGGCGGCGTCCATGTTCGGCGCCGCGCCGGAGGAGGCTCCCGCGGCCGCTTCCATGTTCGGCGCGCCGCCGGAGGAGGCCCCCGCGGCCGCTTCCATGTTCGCCGCACCGGAGGACTCGCCCGCGGCCGCGTCCATGTTCGGGGCCGCGCCGGAGGAGCAGCCCGAGACGGACGGTTGGGGCGACGCGGGCGTCGGCGGATGGGGCGAGGCGGAAGAGCCGTTGTCGGAAGAGCCTGCTGCTGCTTCGATGTTCGGCGCTCCGCCGTCCGAGGAACAGCCCGCGGCTGCTCCTTCTATCTTCGCCGCTCCACCAGAGGAACCGCCCGCGGCAGCGTCCATGTTCAGCGCTGCGCCGGAGGAGCCGCCGGCGGCCGCGTCCATGTTCGGCGCTGCGCCGGAGGAACCGCCCGCGGCTGCTGCTTCTATGTTCGGTGCTCCACCAGAGGAACAGCCCGCGGCAGCGTCCATGTTCAGCGCTGCGCCGGAGGAGCCGCCCGCGGCCGCGTCTATGTTCGATGCCGCGCCGCAGGAACCGCCCGCGGCTGCTTCTATGTTTGGCGCTGCCACAGAGGAGCCGCCAGCGGCCGCGTCCATGTTCGGTGCCGCACCGGAAGAGCCGCCCGCGGCTGCTTCTATGTTCGATGCCGCACCGGAAGAGCCGCCCGCGGCCGCGTCGATGTTCGGCGCCGCGCCGCAGGAACCGCCCGCGGCTGCTTCTATGTTTGGCGCTGCCACAGAGGAGCCGCCCGCGGCTGCTTCTATGTTCGACGCCGCACCGGAGGAGCCGCCCGCGGGCAAGTCCGTGGCGGCCCTGATCGAGCAGCACGCCGTCGAGGCGCCGGAGCCGAGCGCGATCGGCGCGGCGGCCTCCGTGCTCGGCGGCGCCGCGTCGGCGCTCGGCGGCGCCGCGTCGGCCCTCTTCGGCGGCGGCTCGGCGGCGGCCGAGACGCCGCCCGCGGACGCGTCGGCCCTCTTCGGCGCGCCGCCCGCGCCCGCGCCGCCCGCGCCGGCGCCGCCCGCGCCCGCGCCGCCCGCGCCCGCGCCCGCGCCCGAGGAGTCGGCGCGGGCGCCCGCCGGGGCCCGCGCGCCGCCGCTGCTGCGGGCCGCGGAGATCGTGAGCTGCAAGGCCGAGGCCGGCGGCGGCGAGGCGACGGCCGTCGCCGGCGCCGTCGAGTGCATGGTCTCGCTCGACGCGCGCGCGGGCGCGGCGCAGCCCGGCGACGTCGCGACGGGCATCGGCGTGCTCGACGCCATGGTCGCCGCGCTGGGCGCCGCCGCGCGCGTGGGCCTGACCCTGCGGTGCGTCGTCGACGGCGTCGACCTCGAGCCCGGCGCCGAGTACGCGGCCGGGCCCGAGCGGCCCCACGACAGCGCCGTCTTCCGCGCCGCGGGCGCGGCGCTCGGCGCGGCGTTCCGCGCCGTCGTCGTCGTCGACGCCGCGGCGGTGTCCGCGGCCGTCGAGGGCGCGCTCGTGGCCTGCCGCCTCGGCGGCGGCGCGGCGTGCGATTTGGCGCCGTACGGGTCGACGCCGCGCGGCGGCCGGCTCTGGCTCGGGACCTACCGCACGTGCCTCACGCCCGCGTTCTTCGCCGCGCTCTCGGGCGCGCTGGGCCGCGACCTCGCCCTGGAGAAGGTCTGCGGCGACTCGGCGCACGGCGTCGTGCTCGCCGCGTTCGCCGCAGCGGGCGCCGCGCTCCTCCGCGGCGGCGGCGGCGTCCGCGACAGCGCCGCGCCGCCGGGCGCGCCGCGGACCGCGGCGGCCGAGGGCTACGTCGGGGGCGCCCCGGTCACGGCCAAGGTGCGGCTCCTCAACACGGACAAGCCCACCAAGGCCGCGACGCGGTCGGCGACGCTCGACGACGTCCTCGGCGCGCTCTTCGGCGCCGCGGGCTCCGCGCTCCGCCTCGACTGCGACGCGGCGGCGCGCCGCGACGACGGCTACGCCGCCGCGGCGGAGGTCGGGAGCCTCGTCGGCCAGTGCGTCGACGGCGCGCTCGGCGACCGGCGCGCGCTCCGCGGCGTCGGCTCCGCCGCCGACGGGCCCGTCGCCGCGACGGTGGAACTCGCGTCCGGCGCGTCGCACCTCGAGTGGCGGCTCCGGTTCCCCGACGAGTTCGCCGGGGACGTCGCCGCGGAGAACGTCGTCCGCCTCTTCCGGAGCCTCTGCTGGTACGCGCGCCTCACCGTCCACGTGCACGGGACCGCGCCGCATGGCGGCGCGTCGAGCGGCGACCTCGCGCTCGCCGCGGCGCGCGCGTGCGGCGCCGCGCTCGCCGAGGCCGCCGCGGCCGACCCGCTGCTCGCGTAACCACACTTTATCTTAGCCGACCTTGTCGAGGGACGCCGCGCTCGCCGAGGCCGCCGCGGCCGACCCGCTGCTCGCGTAACCACACTTTATCTTAGCCGACCTTGCTGAGGGACGCCGCGCTCGCCGAGGCCGCCGCCGCGGCCGACCCGCTGCTCGCGTAACCACACTTTATCTTAGCCGACCTTGTCGAGGGACGCCACGCTCGCCTCGGGGAGGTGTCCCTCGAACTTGCGGAGGTCGCCGGCGAGGCCCATCTCCGCCGCGAGGCCCGCGATGACGTCGTCGACGTCGCCTTGGAGGAAGACGTCGTCCCGGCTCGAGCTGCCGTAGTCGATGCCGAGCTCGCGGCCGACGGGCTCCCGGTCCGCGACGACGCGAACCGCGGACCGCGGCGCCGTCGCCGCGACCATGTTCGCCGGCGAGACGACGAGCGACGTGCCCGCGACGAGCACGAGGTCCGCCTGCGGCAGGTCGCGCTCGAGCGCCTCGAAGAACGCGCGCGGCAGGCTCGCGCCGAAGAGCACGGTCGTCGGCTTGAGCGTCGGCTTGCCGCATCCGTCGCAGTGCACATTCTTCGACGCCTTCGGCGCCGCCGGGTCGACGCCGTAGATGTCCTTGATGTTCGCGCGCACGCGGGCGCAGTAGTCGTCGAAGTCGACGGGCGCCTCGCAGACCTCGCAGGCCGCGCGGCCGACGGAGCCGTGGCACGCGACGACGCGCTTCGGATCGATGCCCGTCTGGAAGTCGAGGCCGTCGATGTTCTGCGTGAAGTGGCGCAGCAGCTTGCCCTTTTTGTCGAGCACCTCCATGAAGCGATGGAACAGCGTCGCCTTCCATTTTTTTTCTTGCGTCCCGAGGATGAAGGGCCTGCGTACTTCGTGGCACGGGAACTGGTTCGCGAGGAACATGTCCTTGACGACGACGTAGACGGGATCCTGTGCCATCAACGCGCGCTGCTGCGCCGTCGCCGTGAGCAACTCCGGCCGCAGCGAGTCGTACATGCCTCCCGGCGACCGGAAGTCGGGGATGCCCGCCGCGCAGCTCACGCCCGCGCCGGACAAGACGACGACGTTCTTGCAGGCGTCGGAGGCCAGGAAGCTCGCGACGCCGGAGAGGTCCTTGCTCGCGAGGCGCGACATGGCGCCGGCGCCCGCGGCCAGCGCTGCGACCAATTTGAGGGAGTGGCTGCGCGTCGTTGCGTGGGCTGGCCTTGCTGCCCCGCGGCACGAGGCGAGGACAGATCTCGGAGTGGCGTCTCTGAGGCCTCGTCTGGGACACAGCGCCGGCGTTGGACGGCGAGCTTCGGTGTCTCTGAGGCCGCGTCTCGGAGAGCCAGACGAAGTCCAGAAGCTGCCACTCTCTGCACCTCATGTTCAAGAACCGGCGTTGCTGCTTTCTCACGACGATGGTGCCCATATACTGATAAGGCTGCCCACGATGGCGGAAGCCGCCGGCGACGAGCCGGTCAGCTACGCCGACGTCGACGAGCCGACGCCCGCGGAGGTCACGGACCACTTCCATCGGCTCCAGGTCGCCAAGGAGGAGGCGGAGCGGGCGAAGCGGGCCCAGCGGCACGTCACGGACTACCGCAAGTTCGACGGCATCGACGACGACCACGACGACATGTTCGTCGAGCGCATCGCCGGGAACGCGAAGCAGCACCGCACGGACCCGATCAAGGTGACGCTGAACCTCGAGACCGGCGGCGCCGCGAAGCGGGGCAAGTTCACGCTCAAGGACCTCTGGCTCCGGAAGACGCTCGGCGACCTCGCGCGCGTCTTCCACCGCAAGCACGCGGCGAAGCAGCTCGACCCCAGCCTGGAGCTCACCGTCGCGCGCCTCGAGCTGCAGCGGGGCTCCTACGTGGCCAAGCGCGTGCGGCTGAGCGCGCTCGCGGAGGTCGGCGACGCGCTCCGCGCCGGCGACGTCCTCGCGGTGGGCACGGCGCCCCGGGACGTGCGGAGCGAGAAGCGCCTGCCGCCGCTGCCGGGCGCGGAGCCCGACGACTTCGAGCCCGTCGTGCTGTCCGTGCGGGTAGGGGAAGAAGAGGCGCGCGACGCGGGGTTCCTCGCGGCCGTCCGCGTCGAGCTCGCGGGCCCGAACGGCACCGTCGTCGAGGGCTACGTCGAGCCCAACGACGACGTGCGCCCGCCCTGCATCTCCGTCGCCTGCCGCCCCGCGGACGTCGGCCCCCACGTGCTCACGGTCTCCGCGCGCGGACAGACGCTGTTCACCGAGGACCGGTTCGTCGCCGCGCCCGAGCCGACGCCCCAGGCCTGGACGCTGCTGTCGAACCAGAAGCGCGCGAAGCTCGTCGAGTGGATCGAGGCCTGCGACGCCGCCTGCTCCGTGGACCGCGAGGACTGCGCGTCGCTGCCGCTGCCGCCGGTGAGAGACGCGTCGCGGGCGGCGCCCGCGCCTCCAAAGCACCGCGCGACGATCCTCCGCAAGTGGCTGCCCGCGAAGCGCCGGCGCGAACTCGTCGCGCTCGCCAAGGCGCGGGGCCTCTACGGCCCCGCGGACTGCGGCAGCGACTTTCGGCGCTTCGACGCGCCCGGGGCGACCGACGGCTGCGCGGTCGCGTCGCTCCGCTACGGCGACGCGCCCGACGTCGTCGCGAAAGCGTTGGAGCGCTTCCCGGACTGCGCGCCGGAGAACGTCGAAGTCGTCGTCGTCCACTTCCCGGACGGCGGCTTCCGGAGGCCCGCGGCGGACGCGGCGCGCCGCGCGCCCGACGGGTCCTGGGCGCGCCGCGCGGGCCTGTACGTGGCCCTGGAGACGGCGCGCGACGGCGGCGAGTTATCCTTCAAGCGCCTCGTGCCGCGCGACGTCGCCGAGGCCGACGGCGCCGCGCCCGCGGTCGGCGTCTCGGGCGCGGACCGCGACGGCGCCGCGTTCCCGGGCGTGTCCATCGCGTTGGCGCCGGGCGACGCCTGCGCCTTCGCCACCGTCGACGCCCTGGGCCGCCCGGACGAGCGCATGGACCGCGGCGTCGGTGACGTGTTGGCCGGCGAGGCCTGGGCGCTCCAGGTCTGGGTCCACTCGCCGCTGAACGCGCTCCGCGCGGACGGCCGGCTCTGCCTGCTCAAGTTCACGCCGAAGCGCGTCGCCGACGAGGTGCACGCGCGCGTCGCCAACGTCGACGTGCTCCCGCCGGAGGCCTACACGACCTTCGAGGGCGACAACGCGATGCCGCTCCTGCCCGAGGCGCCGCGCGTCTACCTCCACTGCTTCGCGTCCGGCGTGCCCGAGGACGTGCGCCACTGCGTCGCGCTCCGCCTCAAGCAGAGCGAGTTCCGCCGCGGGCGGAACCGCGACCCGCGCTTCATCTACACGGCCGAGCTCGTCGCGCCGCCCGACGTCCTCCGGGAGCTCGAGCCGCGCATGCACGCGATCTCCCGCGAGCTCGCCGTGCCCCTCATGACGACGCCGGGCAGCCCCCAGGCGCCGGGCGGCTACGTCGTCTTCTAACGACCTTTCAGGCGCGGCGCCCTACTCCTGGTCGTCGGGGTCCTCCTCCGCGGGCGCGGCCTCGTCCCCGGGCGCGGCCTCGTCCGCGACCGTCGCCGCGGCGTCGTCGCCGGCCGGCGCGGGCGCCGCGGCCTCGATGGCGGGCGGCGGCGGCGTCAGCGGCTCGGCGTCCGGCGGGCCGTCGTCGGCCGCGTCGTCGCCGTCCTCGAGCGCGAAGTGCTCCGCGTGCGCGAGCACGGTCCGCCCGAAGGTCGCCTCGGCGCGCTTCGTCGTGAGGAGGTGGAGGTTCTGGGGCCGGAAGCTGCCCTTGAGGTAGTTGGGGTCCCGCGCGTTCATGTAGGCCGTCGCGAACGTCGCCCCGCTGCGCTTCTCCTTGAGCAGGTGGAGGTTCTGGATCTCGAAGGGCGGCCGCTCCCGGATCTTCGCCCGGGCCTCCTCGAGGGAGCTCATCGCTTGTTGTTCTCAAGGATTGGGGAAACGCGTAACGCACGGAGACCTCCTTAGAGCTCGGGCGTGTCCACCATCATCTTCCGAAAATGGGTGTGGAAATATGTTAAAGTTCCTTTCAAATTGCCATGAAGGCTGGGCTCCGAGCGCCACGACTGGGCAGCCTCAACACGAGCGCCGTCTGGAGCGCGCGGCGCGCGGAACAACCGCCGGCGCGCCGTCGAACGCCGCCAGCGCTCCTCGTTCGACCATGGGCGCGGGCCTGAGCGTGCGGAACGAGACGCCGCTGCCCCTCGGCGTCATCCTGTCCCAGCTGACGCCGCTCCACTGGAACGACGAGCCGCTGCTCTCGGGCGAGACGTGGAACGCGCGGAACGAGCACGGCGTCGGCGCCGTCTGGTTCACGGCGAGCGTCGACGTCTTCGACCCGGCGCTCCAGCCCAACGTGGCCACGGTGTCGACGCGGCTCGCGGCGATCACGTTCGGAGCGCTCTGCACGCCCCTCGCCGCGGGCTTCGTGCTCGGCGGCGCGCTGAGCGCGGTCACGTCCGTCGCGCGCGGCGCGGCGATGCACAAGGTCAAGGCCGACGGCGCGCTGCTCGTCGTCCGCGGCTGCGCCAACGACCGCACGGGCGAGTACCGCCTCTACTTCTCCGCCGTCGAGCGGCGCGACGCGACGGGCGCCGTCTACGCGCGCGAGGCGCTCCGGCCGCCGCCGGGTTTTGTGGATTGCGGGCTCGACGCGGTCCTCGTGCGCCGCGCGCCCTACCGCACGCCGTCGCGCGAGGCGCCGCTGCCGCCGGCCTACGTCGTCGCGAGCGCGCACGCGCCCGACGGCGCCGGCGACGCCGTCGCGGCCGTGCCCGTCTGGCGCGAGACGCCGCCGCCGCGCTTCGACGACCGCGTCCCCGGCGAGCGCATCCGCGACCTCCGCCAGCGCAGCGCCGCCGCGTCCAAGGAGAAGGCCGCGGCGAACGGCGACGTCGTCGTCGACGTCGACGTCTTCGAGCTCCAGGAGGCGACGCCCGAGGCCGACCCCTTCGCCCAAGCCCCGGACCCCTTCGCGCACGGACCCGAGGCGGCGACCGCCGAGGAGTTCGTCGACTTATAATGTAGACCTACTTGTAGACCTCGTGTTGCGCGCTGGAGCGCCGGACGAAGTTCAAGATGGGTGCACGATGAAGCGTGTTTAGCCGCGACGCGAGGTGAGCGTCCTTGGCAGCCTGCCTGCGCGTCGTTGCTGGGAGGCATTCGTGCGTCGACATGGGTAAGAAAGGAAAGAAGTCGCGGAAGCCGGCCAGCGCGGCGACCGCGCCGCCGACACCGGACTGGTCCGTGGACACGCCGAGCGCGCCTGACATCACGGACGATGCGCTGCGCCAAGACGCTGAGCCCTACATGAACGCCGCCCGGCCCCTCGAGGTGGGCCCCGACGGGCGTTCGTTCGTCGGCCACCGCATGTCGGAAGCGCTCGGGCCGGTCGCGCAGCGCGCGTTCGCCGGCGAGGCGGAGGCCCAGTTCCAATTCGGCGAGGCGTACATGCGCTCGCCTTCGGCCGTGGACCGGCTCCATCTAGTCGGCCAGGCGGCGAACGAGCCGAACGAACCGGAGGCCTCGCGCTTGTTCGCCCAGGCGGCGGCGCAGGGCCACGCGGGCGCCCAGTACGCCCTCGGGCGCCTCTGCGAGGACCGCGGCGCCGACGCCGAGGCCGCGCGCTGGTTCGAGCGCGCGGCGGACGGCGGCCACGAGATCGCCCGCGAGTGGCGCGCCCGGCGCGCGACGCGCGTCTGCGCGAACTGCGGCGCCTACGACAAGAGCAACAAGCAGTGCGCCGGGTGCCTGACCGTCGCGTTCTGCGGCGCCGAGTGCCAGCGCGACTTCTGGCCGCGGCACAAGGCGACGTGCAAGGCGCTCCGCGCGGCGAAGGCGGAGGCCGCGCGCGCCGAGCGCGCCGCCGCCGACGCGGACGCGGCGGTCCTCGAGAGCGGCGCGGACACGATCAGCGACACCTCGGTCTTTTGTCGGATCACGCCGAATAAAGTTTCGGACGACGCGCACAGCCGCTTCCAGTACCAGAAGATGCTCGGCGACCGCCACTTCAAGGACGGCGACCTCGCCGGGGCCCTCGCGCACTACTCGAACGCCGTCGGCATCTGGGACGGCGAGGTCGCGGAGGCGCACCGCTCCGCGAACAAGAGCGTCATGGCCGCGTGCCTGTCCAACCGGTCCCTGGTCCAGCACAAGAAAGCGGACCACGAGGCCGCGCTCGCGGACGCCGAGCGGGCGCTCGACGTCGACGCGACCTTCGCGAAGGCGCACCTGCGCGCGGCCGCCGCGCTCGACGCGCTCGGCCGCGGCGACGACGCGGCCGAGCGGCGGCGCGCGGCGGCGCGCCTCGTCGCCGCGGAGAAGCGCGCGAAGGCGGAGCGGCCGCGCGTCGCGGCGCTCGGCGGCGCGGCGGACCGCGACGACGACGCCTTCGCGGACCTGACGGACGGGCGCGACCCCCTGGACGTGGCGATCGGCAAGCTCGCGAAATCGCACCGCACGACGTTCGGCGCGCCGTACGACTTCGTCGTCGACATGCTCAAGAGCGTCGACGACCGAGCCCTCGCGCGCGCCGTCAAGGTGATCGCGCTCGAAGGGCAGCTGCTCCGTCGGGCCGTCAAGTGCCGGCAGAAGGGAGACCAGCAGACGTCCGTCGCCTGCGAGCTCTGCGTCGCCGCCGCCGACCTCCGCCTCGCGCGGCACGGACGCGCCCCGCACGTGGTGCTGAACGACTGGTACGACGCCGGCAGGTGCTACAAAAACGCAAAGGAAATTCTATACGACATCCTCAATCGAGCAGACACCATGGACAGGTCCCTCGCGTTGCGCGCATACGAGCTCGGGTGCGGCGAGCCGCAGCTCGATCCGCACGGCGATTTCCACTTTAACGTCGGGCTGCACTGCCGGAATCATGACCGCTGGACCGACGCGGCCGCCCTCTGGGGGATCTCCTGCGACCGGGGCAACGGCGACGCCATGGGCGAGCTCAGCCGTCTCCTCCTGGTCGGCGCCCCGGGCGTGCCGGCCGACCGGCCGCGGTGCCTCGACCTGTTCCGGCGCGCCGAGGCGACGGTCGGGCGGCCCACGGGGAGCCCGTGCTGCGACTACCGAATCAAGCAGATGCGACACTTCCTCTCGGTTGTGCGGCAGCTCGATGCGCGCGGGGGCAGTCTTGCGGTGCTCGCCGGCTTCTATGGGAATGGGCGCGACGCCTCCCTTTACTCGAGCGCGGCCGCGGCCGCGCGCGAAGTCCGCAGCGGATCCTGAGCCCGCGGCGGGGCCGCGGCCGCGCTCGCCGCCGCCGCCGCGAAGTAAGTCGCAAAGTCCGCAGCGGATCCTGAGCCCGCGGCGGCGCCGCCGGACCCGTCCGCGGCGGAGGCGCCGGGCCTCGTGGCCCGCGTCGCGGGCCGCGTCGGCGGCTGGTTGCGGCGCGGCAGCGAGGAGCGCACCGAGGACTAGTAAAAGCTGCACGATGATGTCGACGTTGAAGTGGATTCACACTGATTCCACAATCACGAGTTCGCAAGCTCTTGGAAGAGAAAGGCTGCCCTGACTCACCTCGACGGCGCGACGCAGTGCCTTCCAACCATCCAGCAAGCATGGGCCTCTTCCAATCCAAGGAGGGCGACACGCTGGACGGCAAATTTACGACGGCCGCCGCGCTCAAGGCCAAGGTCAAGGCGGATCACAACTGCAAGCGGCGCTGGAAGGACCTGCCGGTGCCCCCCTTCTTCAACGACGAGGCGGCCGAGGCGTTCGAGGCGCTCGAGACGCGCGCCGACGACGTGATCCTCGCGTCGCCCATGAAGGCGGGCACGACGTGGGTCCACAAAATTCTCGCGCTCATGCTCCACGGCCTCGACGACGCGGGCGAACCGATCGAGCCGTCGTCGGACATGCTCCGGCGCGTGCTCAAGGGCAACATGCGCGCCGCGGCGCCCGCAGCGCGTCCCGCGCGCGAGCGCCTCCCGCCCGGTCGCTCGTCCCGCGCGACCCGACGCGCGCCGCCGCAGCTACCCCGACGCGCTGCCCATGACGACGCCGTGGTTCCCCTCGTTCATGGGCGGCTTCCTCTCCTACGCGGACCTCGTCGCTTTGCCGGAGCCGCGCCTGTTCACGACGCACTTCCCGGGGCGGCACCTGCCGGCGACGCTCACGGACCCGGAGCACGGCCAGGGCCGGCTGGTTTTGGTGCTTCGCAACCCCAAGGACATGTGCGCGTCCCTGCACTTCTTCCGCGGCGAGGCGAAGGACGGCTGGCTCGGCAACGAGCACGGGCCGGGCTCCATCGCGCGCTTCTGCGCGCCCGACAGCCCGAACCCCTACGGCTCCTTCTTCACCTACGTCAACGAGGCGGAGCGCGTCGCCGCGCCGCTCATCGCGAAGGACCGCTGCCTCGTGGTCTACTACGAGCGCCTCAAGCTCGACCTGCACGCGGAGCTCGAGCGCATCGCCGCGTTCCTGCGGTGCCCGCTGCCGCCCGCGAAGCGCGACGCGCTCGCGGCCGCCGTCTCCTTCTCGTCCATGGCCGGCAACCACATGGCCACGCGCAAGGGCGAGATCGGCGACTGGAAGAACCACCTCACCGACGCCGAGTGGGCCCCCGTCGACGAGGCCGTCGCCGCGCGGCTCGCGGACAGCAAGCTCTACGAGCCCCTCGCCGAGTACGCCCGCCGGTGATCGACGACGTCGCGCCGGCGGGCCCCGGGCTTCCTTTTGTTTTATGCGCTGCATAAAGCTTTTTTTTTAACTTGACGAACACGGTCGGAAGTGCATCTACAATGAAGTGCTGCCTGGTCGGCTGGAGGTGTTTCTCCCGGCGCCTAAGCTTCAGCCCCGAGGGCGCGATGGCTAACGTCAACGTACAAGTTGAAGAACGAGGTTCGATAGCTTGACGATTGACGATGGGTCTGACGAAGTTCGCGATAGCGCTGCTCGTCAGTGCGCAGGCCCTGCGCCTGGCTCAAAAGCCGTCGCGCTGCAGCACGCGATTACATTCCAACGCCGCCCCGGCGGAGGAGATCGAGCGCCGGCGGAACCTGGCGATCATCAGCCACCCCGACGCGGGCAAGACGACGCTCACGGAGAAGCTGCTGCTCTACGGCGACGCGATCCAGCAGGCGGGCATGGTCAAGGCGCGGGCCAACGGGCGGTCGTCGACGTCCGACTTCCTCAAGATGGAGCGCGAGCGCGGCATCTCGATTTCGAGCACGTGCCTCACGTTCGAGTACGGCGCGTCGCGCGTGAATTTGATGGACACGCCGGGCCACGCGGACTTTAGCGAGGACACGTACCGCACGCTGAGCGCCGCGGACAACGCCGTCATGCTCGTCGACGGCGGCAAGGGCCTCGAGCCGCAGACGCGGAAGCTTTTTGGGGTGGCGCAGCGGTCGCGGCTGCCCGTGTTCACGTTCGTCAACAAGCTCGACCGCCCGGCCATGTCGCCCTGGGAGGTCCTGGACGAGATCGCCGCGGAGTTCGGGCTGGAGACGGCCGTGCGCACCTGGCCCATCGGCGACGGCGAGCGGTTCCGGGGCGTGCTCGACGTCGAGTCCGACCAGGTCTGGATCTACGAGCGGGGTGCGCGCGGCGACAAGGCGAGCGTCACCAAGATCGACTACGCCGACGAGGCCGCCGTGGCCGCGGCCGTCGGCGACGAGGAGCTCGTCGCCCAGCTCGCGGAGGACCGCGAGATGATCGCGGAGCTGACGCCCGCGCTCGACGACGAGCTCCTGAAGACGGGCGCGATGACCGCGGTCTACTTCGGGTCGGCCATGAGCGACGCCGGCGTCGAGCCCTTCCTCGACGAGTTCATCTCCCTGGGGTCGCGGCCCGCGCCGCGGACGCTGCGCGCGAGGAAGGCCGAGGAGGAGAAGACGCAGCTCGCGCCGACGGGCGACGAGTTCGCGGGCTACGTCTTCAAGATGCAGGCGAACCTGGATCCGAAGCACCGCGACTGCATGGCCTACGTGCGCATCGTCTCCGGCAAGTTCACCAAGGGCATGAAGGTCACGCACGCGCGCACGGGGCGGCCGCTCACGCTCGCGACCGCGGCGATGCTCTTCGGGTCCGGCAAGGACACGATCCAGGACGCCTTCCCCGGCGACATCATCGGCCTGAACAACCCGGCGGGGGGGCTCTTCCAGATCGGCGACGCGCTCCACAGCGGCGCGGCATCCGTCGCGTTCGAGCCCATCCCGTCGTTCTCGCCCGAGTGCTTCGGCTACCTGCGGCCCACGGAGGTCGGCGCGTCGAAGAAGTCCTTCCAGAAGGGCGTGGACCAGCTCCTGGCCGAGGGCGCCGTCCAGCGCCTCAAGCAGCGCGGCTCCGGCGACGGCGAGGACCCGCTCCTCGCGGCCGTCGGCGAGCTCCAGTTCGAGGTCGTCGTCGACCGCATGCAGGGCGAGTACGGCGTCGCCTGCGCCATCGAGCGCGTCTCCTACACCATCGCGCGCTGGGCCCAGCCCGAGCTTTCGCCCGAGGACGCCTGGGCCGTCGTCGACCGCGCGCGCGGCGAGGGCGCGCTCACGGGCGTCTTCTTCGCGGAGGACGTCTTCCAGCGGCCCGTCCTCCTCTTCCGCAACCAGTTCACGGTCGACCGCCTCGAGAACGACGCGGACCTCGACCTCGGGCTCAAGCCCTGGGCCCTGCCCCCCGCGAACGCGCCGTAAGGCCCGCGCGTCACCGTAGACTTCACCATCGTGACGCTATTTTTATTGATGAAAAATCCTTGCTTGGTTGTGCTCATGTGATGGTTACGGCGAGGTAGGCAGCCGCGCGTCTCGAGCCGTCGCAGCCATGAACTACGGCGCGACGGGCAGTTCGACCTTCGGCGGCAGCCGGCCGCGCCTGCCGGAGCACCAGAGCTCGCTGCTCAGCGACATCGCCATGCTCAACCAGGAGGAGAAGGAGGAGAGCGCGCTCCTCAAGGAGATGGAGGCCCAGGACGCGGATCCGTCGCCGTCTAAGGCCCTGGAGAAAATCGAGCAGGGCGAGGACGGCGCCGACGAGGACTGGAACGCCCACTCGCACGCGCTGACGTGCAACGCGACGGCGACGATCCAGGTCCGCGAGACGCTCGACGTCTTCAACATGCTCGACGCGGACCGCAACGGCAACGTGTCCGTCGAGGAGCTGCTCGCGGCGTCGAAGTCGCCCTACGTCGTGCGCCTGCTGCGGTCGACGAACAACTTCGTCCTGCTGTCGCTGATCCGGTCCATGGAGGACCGGGACCAGTTCCTGCGGATGTTCCGCGAGCTCGACCCGAACGACGACAAGCAGATCAGCGAGGAGGAGTGGTGCGAGTTCGTCAAGGACATCGCCCACCAGCGCGTCTGCTACCTGAAGCGCATCGGCCTGACGAGCGGCCGCTGCTTCTGGGGCCGGGGGTTCCGCAACGACTTCGCCTACCACCTCTACAACACGCACCCCCTGCTCCAGTTCTGCTACCGCGACCCGGACTACCCCTGCTCGACGCACCAGCTCGTCGGCAAGGAGCTGGTGACGCTCGCCGCGACGCTGTTCCTGTCCGTGAGCGCGGCCGCGGCGCTCGGCGTCGACGCGCGGTGCAACGGGTCCTCCGTGCCCTTCGGGGAGCTCATGCGCGAGTACGCCGTGACCTGCGGCACGGTGACGCTGCCCGTCATGGCGCTGGACCGCGCCCTCTTCTACGCCATCGTCTGCCCCTGCTACGTCTTCGACAAGGGCTCGCGGAACCCCTACGAGCAGAAGCTCATGGACTGGGTCGGGCGGATGATGACCTTCTCCAACGCGACGATCTGGGCGGCGCTGATCCTGCTCTTCCTGGCGAACGTGTCGTTCCTGCTCAAGGCCGGCAACGAGAGCGGCTGCTTCCTGCTCATCTTCGCGTTCTCGCGGCTGAACCACTACGTGCTCGTGCCCGTCGCCATGATCCTCCAGCCCTTCAACCCCTACGTCAATGACCCCAACGTGTGCAAGTACACGGGCGTCGGGCGCTACAACGTCGAGCGCAAGAACGCGAGGCGCCACGCGCTCAAGAAGCACGAGTCCATGAAGGACCACATCGGCCTCCTCGCCAAGGAGGTCGGCGACGCCGCGTCGCCCGTGAACACGGAGCGGGCCCACAAGTTCTTCAAGGACAGCATGCGCGCGGGGAAGGCGAAGCCGTCCTTCGTGCGGCACCCGGACGACAGCCACGAGGGCGAGGCCATGCTCGTCCACCTGGACGCGGTCGTCGCGCACCACGAGGGCGGCGACCACTTCCTCCCGGACGCCGGCGACGTCCCCGACGAGCAACCGTCGGGCTGCGCGTGCTAACCGAATTGTTAGACCATCTCCACCTCGGGCTCGCCCAGCGACGGCGAAAAGGCCGCGGCCTCGTCGACGTCGCCGCCGTCCGACGGCGAGGGCGACGCGGGCTCGTCGTCCGCGTCTCGGGACGCGTAGAGGCCCGCGCCCGTGCAGAGGCTGATGGAGACCATGGCCGCGCGCGCACCGTACGGGAGGAGCGTAAAAGCCCCGGGGCACTTCTGCTCCGTCGCGTCGCTTTCCGCGTCCCGCCGCGCCGCGAGCGCGCTCGACCACAGGGATCCGCCGAGGAGCGGGCCGAGCGCGCGCATGAAGGCCGCCATGGACTGGCCCATGCCGTTGACCGCGCCGATGTCGCCCGTCGGCGCGCTCGAGTTGACGATGATCATGACCGCCGTGAACGCGGTCGTCTGTATGACCCGGGCCCCGAAATACGCCGCGAACAACATCGGCCACGTCCGCGGCAGCACGGGGATGGTCATGCCGAGGGGTACGTTCAAAAAGTTCATGGCGAAAAAAGCGAATCGCAGACTCGTCCGCCGGATGAAGCGCGGCGCGACCGCGGCGCCGACGAAGACGCTCGTCCCCGTCGCGGAGAGGAACGTGCCGATCGTCTCCGGCGTCCAGCCCGCGCAGCCCCGCGCGTAGAGCGGGAAGAGCTCGTCGAACAGAATCTGGCCGCCGGCCATGGACGCGTACGACAAGCACGCCAGAACGGGCCCGCGCCGCCTCCAGACGGGGACGCGCGCCGCCTCCGGTTCCTCGTCGACGTCCTCGTCGGCGTCGACGGACGCGTACTTCTTCGTCGCCGGGGCCGCCGAATCGTCCTCGATCAGGAGCTGCGCCGCGACGACGGTGAGGAGCTGGAACGCGGCGCAGACCAGCAGCGGCAGCGCGTAGGGGAACGCGCGCCAGAACCGCGCGGAGAACGCGCGCGGCCACGAGTCCGCGGGCCGCGCGAGCGCGCCGCCGAGCGACGACGCTGAGACGATGCCCAGTCCGAAACCCAGCGGCATGACCGCAAAGGCCGTGGGCCGGTTGCTCTCGTCGGTCATCTGCGTGAGGTACGACTTCATGACGCCGATGTTGCCGTTGAGCAGGCCGCAGAGCAGGCGCGCGCCCAACGCCCAGGCGACGCTCCGCGACAGCGCGAAGGCGACGGAGCTCAGCGTCGTGCCCACGGAGCCCAGCACGAGGCAGCGCTTGCAGCCGTAGAAATCCGCGGCGCGGCCCCAGGAGTAGCTGCTCACGACCTGCGCCGCGAAGAAGGACGCGCCGAGCACGCCGCTCCAGAAGCCGACGCGCCGCTCGCTCACGCCGAAATCCCGCAGCATGAACACGACGAAGGGAAACAGGACCGTGGCGTTGAGCGCCTCGCTGATCTGGATCATGAAGACCACGCCCATGGCCCACCAGTTGAGCGGCGTGATGGCGTCGGGTTGCAAGGCATTGGCGGCGCACGCGTCCGACGTCGTGGCGCTCTTCTCCGCAGCGTCGCGTTGCAAGGCTGTTCCATGGGTGTCTGCGCACCTTTCTGCGCCTGCGTTCGCGGAGATTGTGGCGCACCCACCGTGCTCCAGCGGTGGAATACCGCGGCACATCGCCACCTCTTCTTGGGGCTGGGGCTGCTCCCACAATGATGACGGCCGCTTGAACAACATTCTTGAAGTTTATTGGAGTGATTTCCGCGACCCAAGAAGTGACCCAAGCCGAGACGCCCTTCGCGCGACCCCCACGACGAAGGAGAGACAGCGAACCGGGTTAGATCCGCGCCGGGGGACTTGGGGACGACGGCGCCGGGGGACAGGGGAGGCGCGCGGCCGCCGCGCTCAGACGACGCTCCGGTCGAGGATCTCGTCCACATCCTCGGGCGCGATGATGTGGGAGTCGCCGATGGACCAGTCCCGGCCGGAGACGTACTGGGGCGCCTGGGGCGACGCGCTCCGGCGGCCGCCGCGGCGCGGCGGCGCCGTCGCGGGCGGCGCGGGCTTCGCCTTGCGCCTCGACGACGGCGGCGGCGGCCGCGCGGCGTCGCCCGCGCGGGGCCGGAACCCGTGGCCCGGCGTCTCGTACTTGGGCTCGAACATGCAGGTGGGGCTCCACTCGCCCCCGGCCGGCGGCGGGAGCGGCTTCCGCGCGCCCCCGCGGAGCGGGTTCCGCTCGCGGACGACGCGCGGCGCGACCTCCGCGGCGAGCGGCGCGCCGCCCTGGTCCGGCGGCGCCGGGAGGCGGTCGCCGACGTCGACCTGCTGCGCGTCGCCGGCGCCCGGCGGCGCCGGCGGCATGGTCGGCGGCGCGTCCTCGAGCTGGAGCGGGCCCGCCCTGGCCGCGGAGTCCTTGCGGAACTGCTCCAGCACCTTGAGGAACTGGGACCGCGACACGAGGTCCGTGCCGTCGGCGGACTCGACCGTGCGCAACAGGAAGTCGATCTCGTCGCCCAGGATGCCGCGGAGGCCGAGCATGTCGACGAGGTCGGGACGCCCGTGGAGCTTGTTCGCGAGGTTCGCGCGCGTCGCGAAGCCCTCGGGGTTGCCGTCGGCCTTGGCGAGCTTGAAGAGGAGCATGGAGCTCAGGTCCTCGTTCCAGGTCTCCGTCGACTCCTCGTCGTCGACGTCGTTGAGCATCGCGTCCCACTCGTCGTCGGCGACGTCGCTCGGGCGGTCGTCCTCGTCCGCGTACTTCGACTCCTCGCCGGAGGGCGTCGGCGGCACGCCGCCGTCGCTGGACGTGTCCTGCATGAGGCGGTTGAAGAAGACGTCGCTGTCGAGCTGGCTGCTCGCGACGCTCTTGTCGTCGTCCGTCGGCGGCGGCCGCGCGGAGCCCCGGTCGCTGCTCCCGAGCGCGCCGTCCTCGACGTCGACGCTGAGGTCGCCGTCGAACTTGAGGTCGTCGGCGTCGCCGGCCTTGGAGGCCTTCTTCTTCGCGAGGTACTGGTAGCAGCCGATGCCCAGCACGCCCAGGAAGAGGCAGAGGATCGCGACGCCGATGACGAGGTTCAGGCCGCTCATGGACGCCGTGTCCGCGCCGTTCGAGTCCGACGACCCGGCCGACGCCGTCGACACGTCGTCGTCGTCCTCGTCGGCGGCGACGCCGACCGTGCCCGTGTCCGACGACGGCGAAAACGTCGGCGCGGCCGTCGGCAGCTCGCCGCAGCAGTAGCAGAGCAGCGTCATGCCGTCCTCGGGCGCGTCGTTCGCGAAGGGCGCGCCGACCTCCTTGCCGACGCACGTCTTCGCGTCCTCGTCGACGTACGGGGCGAAAGGCTCCGCGGAGATGTAGGACGTCGCCGCGTCGCACTCGATGCCCATCGCGTCCAGCACGACGGCGTTCAGCTCGTCCAGGGTGTCGACGCGCGCGGCGCCCGAATTGGCGATGGCCGGGCCTGTGTAGGTCCCGGCGGCCTCGCACGCGGCCT